CCCCCCCCTTTCCCGGCATTTGCTTCAGTTGGAGACCGAGCTGATAGCCTCCAGCTGCACCACAACCGTCACCTACGCCATCGCCTACTTCCTCCCCATCATCCTGCAGCAAGGCATGGGCTTCAGCATCGGCGCGGCGCAGTGCCTCGCCGCGCCCCCCTACGTCTTCGCCGGCATCATCATGTTCGGCGGCGCCTGGGTCGGCGACAAGTACCGCGTGCGCGGCGCCATCGTGGTCTTCAACGCCCTGCTCTGCATCATCGGCCTCCCGATCATGGGCTTCGCGCACGGCAACGCCGCCCGCTACGTCGGCGTCTTCTTCAGCGTCGCCGGCGCCAACTCCAACATCCCCGCCGTCATGGCCTACCAGGCCAACAACGTGCGCGGCCAGTGGACGCGCGCGCTGTCCAGCGCCACCCTGGTGGGCTTCGGGGGCATCGGCGGCATCGTGAGCAGTCTGGTGTTCCGGTCGGAGGATGCCCCGGGGTATCGGCCGGGTATGTGGACTACGATCGCGTGAGTTTTTCCTTCTGCTTCGTCGATGGTCTTCACTGATCTTTTGTGGGTAGGTGCAATATTTTGATCCTGGTGATTGTCGGGGCGCTGAGTTGGTGGTTCCGGAAGTCGAATGCCGAGGCAGAGCGCGGGCAGAGGGTCATCGAGGGGGCGGAGGATTTTAGGTATACGCTTTGAGTTGATGATCGGGTGGAGTGTGTGTCGTCACTGCAGTGCAGTTGGGGAAGTAAATACTATGTACCCAGGCAGGGTCCGGCACCGACCACACCTTACCTTGCGATAGGTAGTTTAACTTAGGAGTCAGTTACTAACTTCACACGCAATGATTATGATTGCACGCCTTATCGTAGTCCCTCCCCGGACGAAGTGGACTAAGTGGACTAAGTGAAGTTAATCCTGGTCAGCTGCCAGCCAGCCTCAGGCACCCCGCACGAAGCCTTATCTTATCAGCTCAGCTCCAAGCAGCAACCCGACTAAGCCCGAAAAGGAAACCTACTGTACCGGAGCCGGCCGGATTCCGAGGCCGGGGCGGGCGGGCTCCATTGGCGGAGATTAGCGACTCCCGATGAACATCGCCCTTTAAGATCCACCGTCCATCCCCGTCTGGACTCCTCTGCTTCGCTTTTTTGCGATTTGCTCGGTTTGGCGTTCCGTTGGACTGGCTTTGTTCCAAGTGGTGAGTTGCCTGGCTGCTGAGGGATTGGTTTGGATTGCGCCCTTGCAGACTGCAGAACGTGGGTTTGTGGATTTGGGACGACGGTGCGGTGAGTTGAACACCTGTCCGGGTGCTTGGTTTGCATATCTGTTATTCTGGTGGTTGCGAACTCGGCTGATACCAGAACAGAACATATCCCGATCGTCTTCTCCGGTATCTGCGCGTTAGCAAGAGGGTTCTCTGCTTCACTCCCGAGCACCACCGGCTGGTTTCTTGAATTGCACTCGCTGTCGAAAATGGTATCCCCAATGTACACCCTCTACGTGGGCACCTTCATCCAACTCCCCCGCACCTCCTCCCCGGACGACAGACATGAGCTCGCCATCACCCGCGGCGCCCTCTGGGTGTCCGCCGCCGACGGCAAGATCAAGGGCTTCGACTGGAGCGTCGCCTCCGAGTCCGACCTGCAGACCCTGCTCAAGCGGCACGGGTGGGTGCTCGCCGGCGCAGGCAGTCGCAGCTGCGTGCGCGTGGAACTTGTGCGCGCTCGCGAAGAGCAGAACGAGTTCTTCTTCCCGGGCTTTATCGGTATGCCACCCCCACCCCTCGTAAACATCATTCCCAGTCCCAGATGGAGACTTCCCGGGGGTTCTCCCCCGGGAAGCCTGCGGGACCGCCTCCCCAGCCTGCACACCGGACTAACAACAAGGCAGACACCCACATCCACGCCCCGCAGTACCCCAACACGGGGCTCTTCGGCAGCGCGACCCTCCTCGACTGGCTGCAGACCTACACGTTCCCGATGGAAGCCTCCTTCGCCAGCCCGGCCGCGCTGCCGGGGCTGCCCCCGCCCACGGCCTACCGCGCCTACTCGCAGGTCATCGCGCGGACGCTGAGCCACGGCACGACGACCGCCGCCTACTACGCGACGATCCACGTACCCGCGACGAACCTCCTGGCCAGCCTCGCGCACCAGCGCGGCCAGCGCGCGCTGATCGGCCGCGTCTGCATGGACAACCTGTCGACGTGCCCGAGCACGCTGATCGACGAGTCCCCCGAGGCCAGCCTCCGCGACACCGAGGCGGTCATCGCGCACATCCACTCCCTCGCCCCCTCCACCAAAGAATCCCTCGTCAAACCCATCCTCACCCCGCGCTTCGCCCCCTCCTGCACCCCGCCCTCTCTCGCGGGGCTCGCCGCCCTCGCCAGGCAACACACCCCCCCGCTGCACATCCAGACGCACATCGCCGAGAACGTCAACGAGATTGCCCTCGTCCGCCAGCAATTCCCGGCCTGCGCGCATTACGCTGCCGTGTACGATGCGGCGGGCTTGCTCACGCCCCGCACCATCCTGGCGCACGCCGTGCACTTCTCCCCGGCGGAGCGGTCGCTCGTCGCCGCCCGCGGCGCCAAGGTCAGCCACTGTCCCGCGAGCAACTCGGCGCTGGGGTCGGGGATCTGTCCGGTCCGGTGGCTGCGGAGGGGCGGGGTGGTCGTGGGGCTGGGCAGCGATGTGAGCGGCGGGTATAGTGTGGGGCTGCTGGAGGGCGTGCGGCAGGCCTGTTTGGTGTCGCGGTTGCTGCCGTTCCTGAAGTACCCCGAGGGAGAGGAAGACGGAAAGGGCGAGGACGGGGTCGTCTCCGTCGAGGAGGCGCTGTACCTCGCCACGCGCGGCGGCGCCGCCGTCGTCGATCTGCCCGATCTGATCGGCGGGTTCGAGCTGGGCATGGCCTGGGATGCGCAGTTGATTCGGCTGGGGCGGTTCCAGCCGGCAGGGCTGTGGGGGCCGCACGGGGTCGGCAGTAATGTCGATGTGTTTGGCGAGGAGAGCTGGGTCGAGAAGGTGCATAAGTGGGTGTGGAGCGGGGATGATCGCAACGTCAGGGCGGTGTGGGTGCAGGGCCGGTTGGTGCATGGGAGTGTTGGTGATGGTCGTGAGGAGGGGCGGTGGAGTGCGTGGAAGTGGGTTTGGGGGCTGGTCGGGGTCGGCGCTGCTTGGGTGGTTGTGAGGAGAGTGAATGGGTGAGGTTGGGGGTTGGGGAGGGGGTATTTTCCTGGCGGAGTTGTATAGAGTCATGTACGCTTTTATTTGTTGGGGAGGGGGTATGCGGGTTTATCCTCCATAGATTAAGGATATTTTCCTAGCATAGTAGCACAGACTAATATCTCCTGCCTTCTCTTTTCTTTGGCTTACTCCCTCAATGTCTTCTTCTACCTCCTTTCGTATTCAAGTTTCTTTCTTTCTTCCTCCGCTTTCCGAAACAAAGCCTTATCACCAACCGAATCGGACATAGCTGTGATAAGCAGATGTTTCAGATGTTGATTACTATCTTCCGATTCCGCTAATTAGACTACCGTTCGAAACTTCAATACAGGGATTGCAGGTTGCCAATGCGTTTAGGAGATTGGTATCGATATCACAAGATGTGAGAAACTTGGCCTTACGGCTGAACATCAAGTTGGCGTGTGTGGGGCTAGACAGAGAATCTGTTGTACATGTGGTAGATGAGCGCACCGGGTATCCAGAGCGGGGAGCTGACCGCCAGAAATATGGTTATCAACAAAATTGGCTCGTGGCCGGCGGGCTGCAACAGCCCACTTTGAAGGATCTCCTCTCGCTGTCGATGGAACATTTCTTGTTCTGCTCTCATGCGATCTGCTAGCACGTTTATTTGGGCGGAACGAAGCTCCCGGGACATGCGGAATCTTTGTTCCAGATTTTGCAGCTTCCGAGTCAGATGGCTGGATCGCATAGCCAGATCTCGCTCTTGCTTCTGCCTCCGTCTGGTGACGGCGGCTTCATAGTCATCTCGCTGCTTTTTGCGGCTCTCTTCAGTTGCCTTGCGTTTCGGACGGCGATAAAGCAACCCTTTCTGACTGATGTCGTGGTCTTGAAGAGCTCTTTGGCGAAGCAATAGCAAAGATTCCTCGTTCAGCGGAATCGTGACTGTCAGAGGCCCTCTTTCTTCGATATATGTTTTGCAAATGTGATAGCACGGAGACCAAGTAATCTATCGAGTCACGCTATTTAGTCCCGTGTCGGACATATGTTTCGAGAGGGCAGCAAACCTGGCTTATTCCACGCTCCGATGCGACTGCCTTGATGGCGTACTCGAACAAATCACACAAGCTCCGCTTCGTTTCCTCGAGGTTTCCCAGCTTGTGCTCATTCTGAGTTGTGTGATGCGCCATATCGTTTCGGATTCGTTTCGCCTGTGTCATCAATCGACGGAGGGCTTTCGATTGATCTTCTCCCATGACCGTGGCGAGCCTGCCATTGGAATCTTTCAATTGCAACCGAATGATGTCGATTATAGCCGGTAAGTCGGCTGCCTGGTGGCATCGGTATCCTCTCTCATTCAATTTATCGGCATCAATCAGCTCGCATAGAATGTACCCCAGGAACTCAAGCTCGTCGGTCCAGGTCGTCAATCGTGCTTGGGTCTCAAAGTAGGCTTCGGGGGGTACTGACATTTTTGTTGGCATGGATTCCTGAGTGCGGTGCGGGAGATCCATCCGCAGAGTTAAACCTGGTGGTGCTCTAGCCTTCAGATAATCGTATATGTGGATAGTGAGCTCGCCGTGGCTTACTAGTTTTGGCATCGTTCTTGACATCATGACGTCAATGACTGGATGGTGAGGGGGGGAATATACACGTAATGAACTCTTGCATGGAGGAGTCTAGGCAGGCTTCAAAGCCAACTGGCCCTAAGATCTTGTTGCCGGGGGTGTTCTTATGAACAATGGGAAGCAGTGGTAGCGGTAGTCGATGACCGCGGTTTGCTGTCTTGGTCCGCTCTGTTCCGTTCCTATACTACGGCGTGCTCCGTAGAATAACCTAACTCGCTATCGGATTCGTCAGCCGAGCGAGCCACCACCCCGGAGTTTAGAAGCAATTCACTATATTATAGTAGCCTCACTTTGAAAATTTTGCGTTCTTCCCGAAGTTGTGGTTTTTTTTTTTTTTTCTTTTTTTTGTGGCGTTCCCATCAACGCATCGGTCCACGCCGCCGAGTGTCGTCTGCAAGCAGCTGCGGTCGCAGATCATGAGAAAGCCCTTCAACCCGGCGCAGGCAGGCGGCGGCGTCGCTGCACTGCCAGGACAGGACAGGAAAAGGAGGCAGAATAAGACATAAGCCGACCGTCGATACTAATCTTCGATCCCGGTGCCATCCGCACATCATCCGGATCGTTTCCAGCATTACAACATACCCACTGGGCACTTGGAGATACACCAATGTTATACGATATGACACAAATCAACACCCCTGTCTTCACAGGCTTAGGCCTAACCTGGCCTGGGTTTGAATATGACTGGCCCCTCTCAAGTTGGCTTTTCCAGGGTAACCATATTCCTGTACGGCTAGCGGAGTTGTAGGCGACAGACCAAGCAGTAAACTCTCTTGCGCTGGGCGTAGAAGACACCCTGGTCAATCAGGATGATAACCCGAAGCGGGCTGTGCAGTGAGACTTGTTGTGGGTTGCCAGCTTCGAGACGACTTGGAAACCTTGGAAGGACCTTACAAGAGGGCCGACTACTCCCCTGCTCGCTCCCTTCGTCTTCTGTGATTCATGATCTCCGGGAGGGAGCTGGATGTTGCTGGATGTTAGCCATGGCGCCGGTTCTCCGTCGACAAGCTCACAGAGCGGGTCGGAGCCATACGACCACGACCACGACCCGGGCCATACTCCGAACCTCATCAGCCTCGGCGGACCAAAAGCCCACTGCCGCCCAACGCGCACAAAAGAAATGGAATCACTTCCGCCGATATGCCTCTGAGTCCCCCTACCCCGATTTCAGTGAGCCCTCGCCGGAAGAGTGTTACCGCGTCAACCGCATCCTGACCAAGCTGCACGGTCCCCGCGATCCGCTCTCCAGCGAGGCATTAGACGCCGACGGGCTTGATGGCCGCCCCAGCCAGTTCCCGGACGTTCTCCACGGTCTCATCTACGGTGTCTTGTGCCAAGCAACCAACGAGCGGAACGCAATCCGCCAGGTGCATGGCTTGGATAAGGTCTACGGGTCCTGGAGGAACTTTTCCGCCATCGCCGAGGGCGGCGAGTCCAAGCTTCGAGAGACCCTGGCCTGTGGCGGCCTGCACGAGCGGAAATCGCGCATGATCTTGAAGATCCTCTAGCAGGTCTGGAGCAAGCATCAGGAATATACGCTGAATCATCTGTTCCGTGCAACAGACTCGGAGGCGATGCAGGACCTCCTCTCTTATTATGGGGTCGGTCCCAAAACCGCCAGCTGCGTGCTTGCCTTGACGCTGCAGCGCCAGCGTTTTGTGGTTGATACTCACATCTACCGACTGACCGGAGAACTGGGCTGGAGGCCCTCCCGGGCATCCGCGGAGCAAGCCCGCGCCCATCTGGAGCAGAGGATACCCGACGGTCTGAAGTATTCTCTGCATCTGCTGTTCATTTCACACGGGAGAGAATGTCCACGCTGTCGCGCCGGTGGTGACCAGAGCTATCAATGTGAGCTCATGTGCAAATTGGAGGAGGAACAAGCAGAGTAAACCTGGCCCTCTCGCTTTAATGAATCATGTGATGTGGATCTTTCCTTTTCTGAATGCGAGATACTGTTCTCGGGAATCACAGACCCTCTCTGTGTCATGGTCACTCGATAGTCTCAGCAAGCCGTAGACCTTGGCCTTGCCTCACAAGAGGAGAGTGGAAGCAGTGGGTTCCGGCGGGTGGAGAGCCCTACCAGACTGCCCTTGAGGGACCTCCGAGGCTGGTCTCCATACTGTCGGACCACCAGGTTCCGAGCGCCGCTTAGTCAATGATGCAGATGTCGTCGCATGCTTGCCCGATTCTGGAACCAGGGACTTACGGAGTATAGATCCACTCTGGTAGCCACTGGAGCAAAATCACCGGGTCGGTACTGTTACCGGCGCCAATGGCATAGGAGGCCCAAGCGATTGTTCAGCCAAGGCGTCGGTCTGATCCAGTTCCCGCCAGCACAATCCCTTACGTACACGTGACATCTTCTCGGTGTCTGGCCCATTTTGAACTTCACTGGGACAGGCATTCTCGCGATGCTCGCGAAAGGATGGATCCTGTACTGAACCCGCTCTGGCTGAATGGTGCTGGCATGTAATCTTGGATGGCTAGAATACGCAGCTGGCTGAGATGCAGCCGGCATTTATCCATATCCAGCGGGAAAACCGCGCTTTGCTGACCTCTCGTTCTCGTTCGCTTACGACTGATCCTTTTCTTAGGAAAAACAACCCTTGTTCATTTATGCATCATCTGCTCTCGTTCTAACGCCCATTGCCTATGTTCCCTTGCCTATGTACCCTTGCCCATGTATCCACGACGTGGTGAATGCCAGGTCTTTCGAGCGACGCCGCCACTCAAGAACATGAGGGCAGAGTGGGCAAAACACCGGCATTTTCGTAGGCACGCATGGTGTTCAGCCACGATTGGTAGGTGTCATCGCTGTGCACCCAGCCAAACCGACGCGCCTTGACGACGGTGCTCATGACTGGTGCCGAGTTCGCCGCGGGCGTGATGCACCAGTTCATAAGCCTAAAGGCATCTATCTGGAATGCCTCCGGGTCACCCCCGTACTTGGCGACGATGCGCTCCCATACCGCCTTCTTGTCCTGCGCCCACTCGCCTAGGTCAAATGGCCGGGTCGCCGCCGTCGGGGCCTCGAAGTCGTCCATCGAGACCCGGAAGTACTTGGCCAGCAGATGCCAGAGAAATTTCCACACGATCACATCCCCATCGTCGTGGTTGAAGGCCTCGTCCTTGCAGTCAGGGTCCGTGGCTGCCCAGACCGTCAGGTTGGCAATCCCCATGGCGGACGACTGCTTCTCGACGCGGTGATAGCTTTCCAAAGAACCGGGCCAGCGCGGAGCCTCGCCGAGCTCCCGGCAGATCAAGAAGTACTGGGCCAGCGGCAGGGATTCGTTGATTCCCAGATCTGCAGAATGGTTAGCGTGGACACTACTGGGCGGGCCCTCGGTCTGCGTACATTGGCAGCTGTAGCCGATGATGGCCATGGGACGGATGATGTTGTAACTCCAGGTGTTTCGGCGTTTCTGGACCGCAAACAGGTCGTCTTCTTGTTCGTAGTAGAAGATATTTTCGGGGCCCTCGTAGCGAGGCATATCTTCCAGGAAGGGCGTGGTGAAATCCCTGAATTGAAACCCGTAGTGCTGCCGACGGTCAGAGTCTCGTCCCGTAGGGGGGAGTGGGAATTAGGGCAAACCCGTGCTCACCTTGCCTCCGGTTTGCAACACTACGCGCTGCAACTTGGGACAGGCCAAGTCCACTGCTTCGACTAAGTGGCGGAACAGAGGGCCATTCTTTTGGTGCAATTGCGAAAAGTCGTTGTTGTGGGTGTAGGATGTGAAAAAGGCATGGGTCACATCCGCGCACAATCCTTGGATCTTCTCGGCGATGGCCTCGGCCGGCTCGAGAAAGTCGATGGCGATGAACCGCACTCTTGGGTCGGTGTATACAGCCTTGATCGGGCTTCTCGAGGTAACGATGATCGCAGACCTAGGGTAGTGGTGAGTGGACACTATTCCATCGATGGGGGATTGAGGTAGATGTTGTGTCAGATAGACCAAAGGACTCACCACTCGCTGGCCGATTGCTTGATCAGATGCTCAACAATGGCACTGCCGCTGATACCGTTGGCCCCGGTCACAAAGGCGACCTTGCTGTGCGGGGTGCGGATGCCGTAGATGTCGCTCATGATGGGCGGAACAGTCCTGGGGATGGGTGGCATTCATCCAATCTCCAGACCATGATCTCGAGTGCTTTATAGCCTGTCTGTTCCCCTCCCCATGCCGGTGGCTGCACTGTTGAATCTATTATCTTGCGCTACATGAGGAGTCGGATCCGCTTCCCCCCGGCTTGTCTTGGCCGCGGTTTGTTTTTGGTGTCATTATTGCTCTGTGGATTCAGCCAGGTCTTCCGTACTAGACCCACAAGAGACCCACCGTGTGGCTCCGTTCCGGAACACAAAATCGAGGGAAGCGTGCGGGGCCAGGACCCCTGGGCCGGCGAGGAGGCATCGCTGGATTCCCTTAACTTGTCAACGGCTCCCACTTTCGATGGGCTCTGGCCGACTTGCAACTTTTCGACTCCACGTCTACGCCTTTGTGAGCCCGTAGGTCACATGACTGAGACTCTACCACTGCCAATGTCTAGGGTGGTCATCTTACTCGGTGTGCCTGGTCAAAGCTGGAGTTCAAAATCATGCAGACATGTTGTGTTATACATTCACCTTCTTGGGTCTCCTAAGGAGCTAACCTCCGCCTCTACACCACCCAAACAGCTGAATACAGCGCGGCGTCATAGGAAACATCAACAAAGAAATGGCTGCAACCTTTGCGGGCTCCAGCGCACCACTCGTCGCCACATTGAGAAGCGAACGCTCCTGATCGATGGCCGCAGCCGTCGACCCGCCAACAGCAAGCATGAACTGGTTGCCCGCGAGTAGCCGAACACGTCCCTCCCTCCGGTGAGATATCAATGACTCCGTTCGGCGGATTGATGGTAAGATCCGCCGTGCCATTCGCACTTGGCGCAAAACCGTCGAAGAAGAACCCACGGCCGATGATCTCGACCGGCCCCGTGGCAGCTGCGTGCGTTGCTGTCCACCGGGAAGCGCGCAAATACCTCCGGGCTAGAACTCGTGGAGTAGACGTAATTTCCTCCCACTTTGATGCCGTTGACCCCCACCTTCACGGGCTGTCCGGCGGCTGGGACCATTGAGGCATGGGACGGAGTCACGGATCATTCGCCCGTCGTCGCGTCGCGTTGAGGCGCCAGATCACGACGTTGCCGGTGAGGTTACCCGTCCAGACGGCAAAGGAGCCGAGGGTCGGCGTGACGCTGGGAAGGGGAAAGGTTGCGCTCAACAACGGCAAAAATGTCACGTTCTAGCTCGGTGATACCCAGCGTGCTCATCGCGTGAGGGGAAGTGGTGAGGAAAGAACTACGCAGCAAGGGCTGATTGGATGAGAACTGCAGCCGGGAGCACAGAAAACCGCATCTTGTAGACATGGCGAGAAGGACTTGGATACAAATCTGATGCAGATTTAGAGACTAGGTATTGCTCAACGCTTAATTTGTCCGATGCCATTGACCTCGTGTTCAACGGGATGAGGTTTCCAATCCCCTGAGCTCAGTGTAGAGCCGGGTAGCACGGAAGTCCCAGGTCTTCCGTCTGACCGAACGTGTCTTCCTCGAGTGCCTTCAGGGCACCGGGGAACTTTCCAGGCGTCGGCCGGGGTGAAGGAGCGGGCGGAGGTGGATCTCCGCTGTCCAAAGGAGCTGGATTGGGTGAGCACAAGATCCGGCTTGAGGGTTTATGTTAATGCTGGCTTACTCCTTACGTGCATCTCAGCTAGGCTAATCCGGAAACCGGCTTTGCTGCCTGCCTCTTTTCTTCATCGTCGTAGCCTTGGAGAGATCTTCGAACCGGGCTTGCTGTTTGTTGGGGCAACACACCTATGCCCCGGGCCCCATGAGCAGATTGTTGGAGCCGCGATTATGTATACATTATAGATTCACCGCAGCGCAGATCACAATCTGTATCCTCTTAAGAAAGGCGAGATTCTGATTCGGTATGATAGCCCTTGTCTGATGTGTACTTGCCAGAGGCGTTGGTAACACAAGTAAACCCACTGCCATCCATTGAATAGGTACAGAGTGTCATAGACCCTGCTGCCTCGGCTTGGTATGATCCCACATGGGTGAAGGTATTCATTAAAACCTGATAGCTCTCCAATCCATCACGCCTCGAGGGACATTCGGAGTCCAACCACGAGGCACAACTTGGCACAACCCGATGCAGGATGTACATCGCATAAGACGGGTCTCGACACTGGGGTCATAAATGGCCGACCGCCCCTTTCACTCTTCTGGGAAGCGCAGGGGGGGGTCTCATAAAGAAGTCCAACCTTCAAAGCAAATGGGAGAAACCCTGATTACCAGGCAAATCAGTACGTACTCTGCCACATGAGGGGTTGCTCGGGGCATAATGGGTTCATCCAGTGGGAACACGGACTGACCCGGGTCCATTTGCCGGTCCTAGTGTGGAGGGAAGATTGAATTGAACCTATGATTTACAGCCTGTGCGTTGACCCAGGCTTCGCCTTGAACCCGAGACCGATGAGAAGGCGATCTACGCCCATCCTACCACGTCAAATGCCAACTTGAGATGTAACCCTTGTCACTGGATCATGCTCCCGCCTCGCTGTGTGTTTCTTTCCCATTGCCTTGTTGCTGTGGGAGGGCACACTTGCGGTCAGAGAATCTCGAACCACCTTCCAACGACTCGGTGACTCCGGGCCCCCGTTCTTCATGTCAGCTGAGAACATCCACTTCTGTCCCAAAAAGCAAGCATATCGAGGAGTTGGAGTTGGTCAACAAAGCTCGGGCGCTCCGGCGGGAGGTTTCCCGCCTGTTGCTGTGCGTTAAGAGCCTGCGCCTGTGGTTAGGTTGACCCTCTGACTCGTGCGGACCAGTACATCGCGAAGAAAAGGGCGGAAGTAGTCCAGCGGGCCTCGCAAAAAGAGCTGCCCAGGGTGAACATCTCTGCAGGTTTGCAGGGCGACACAATGACCGACCGCGAAGTGCTGTTGAAGTCCGTTGTGTGGATTGTCGCTGGCTCTGGAACAACAGCGGCTCAGCTGTGACGATGATCTTCCTCATGTGGGCGGTGATGGCAGACCCCGAGATCGAGCCGCGGTGGGAGGAGAAGGTGGCGGCCCTGCGGCTGGATTTTCACGGACTCCGAGCTGGAAGAGCTGCCGTACAGCAATGCAGTCATTGACGAGGCACGGCGATTGTGCGGTGCTGCGCCGTTGGGACTGCCTCGGATTGTTCCCGGGGCTGGTTTCAATGTGTGGGGGCACCACAGCCCCGTACCACCCAGTCCTACTCTTTGCTTCGAGACGGTAAGTTAGTGTATGGGCTGAGCCTGGTCAGTAAGCTGAGTTCCTGAACCATGTCTCTCCACCCTAGGGCTTCTAATCGTGGCTGGACGAGCCGCAGCATGCATAGGTCATCTTTGCGCCCTTGGGTGGCGGGAGCCGGACATGTATATGGCTGTAAAGATCCTTCCTCGAGTATCGGCTCTACGATGGCGTAAGGGAGTCTGAGCGGGTCTATCGTGAAGGGGTTATCAGATAGTAGAACTGCGTTATGTACTACAAGGGGGTATGGAGGTCTCCGCAATGACTTCAAGAAGTTCCTGACATTGGGACAAAGCAGCAAGTAGCTACAGAAATTATGCTCAGTGTATTATAACAATGTATGCACTCAAGCATTGCTACCAAATCAACCAATAGCTCATCTAATAGTTCCTCAACCAAGGACACCGCGCCGTATGCCACCGCCGGCATAGCGCGCACTTGAACGCGCGGGGGTTCGCTTCGTCAATCTCAATACATGGTCTATTTCTGTTCCACAGGGAATTACACATACCATGCCAGTGTGCTTCGGAAGGTGCAGGGGAGGAAGCGGGAGGTACCACTGTGTCTGCATGCTGCTGGACCTGTCAGCAGTTTAGAGGTTGTACGGTGCGCAGTTCACGTACGCGTGCTTGGGACTGCGGCGTCTCTGTTGATTTGGCTGCGTTCTTGGTCTTAGGGGAGCGCCTTTGGTTTCTCCTTGAGGGTTGCCTTTGTCTCTGTCTTTCGCACCAGAAGGATCCTCCGTCTGCGCGGCAGGAGTGTCCAGATGCTTGGAAGCCTTGGTCGCGGTTGCTTTCAGCTTCGAGGTGTGATCGTTCCTATTGCCAATAGAACTTCTAGCCCACAAGCGCCGTCGGGAATAGGGCTTTGAATGAAGGCTTACGGTGCCATTTTGGGATGTTGCTATGTGTCTGGAAGTACAGTTCGGATGAGGTGTAGACAGAACTTCCAGTTATCCGTACTAGGGACTATATATCATGGACATGGGTTCTATAGATGTGTGAGTCACTGTGTAAGTCTTTGGATGGTTTCCGGTGTGATCCTGTGCCGACGTCATTCGATGAGCGGGAGCAACACTATTCGAACTGGTATAGCAGGTTGATCAGCATGGTAAGATGCCAACTGTATGGTGTATTGGGGCGATAATGCGGACGGGAGATGTGCATGGACGCAGTACACTTGTAGTTGTCTGGTCCTGCCAGGCTCGACGTTCTGGTCTAGAATTCCCCGCTATGATTGCAACTGACTCCATTGTATAGATCATGGTATGAGCTAGCATCTAGCAGATCGATATTCGATGTTAGATGACTCGAAATCACGGGTAGACATATAGGTCTGCTGATGACATATTGGGAGACGGACCTTGGTTGTCTTCTATTTTGTCATTAGTCAGTAGCCAAACATCAAAGTGCATTGCAAGACGATCTACTTTCGAGCTTAGTAGCAACCCAACCGTCCTCTTTCAGGCACTCCTCGTATGCCGTGAAAGATGAGGAAATGCGAGGGGCTCTACTGCCGCCGTGCTCACATGACCTGGCCTGCCTATAGAAGCAATCAACGGATCTCCATCGTACCTGCCGTGCCGACAGAAGGAGACATACATCCATTTCCTCCATCGCTTCGTTGTTGGCCGAACGCTCGTTCCTGACATGATCTCCACTACGACGATACGTCAAGGTCGCAGGTGTCGAGATAGATTTCTCCTGCAAGCCATCAGCACAGACGCACTCTAGCTAACACCCACCATTCCAGCAACCGGGTCAGGGAAGAACTATTGAAGGCACCGTCTCGAGGCACGAACCGACCCACCAACGCCTGTCACCCCTGTCACACCAGCAGTGGAGATACATCAGTATCACCCATGAGTCCACACCCCGACGAGTCATGTTTGCCCAGAATATCCGTCGGAGCAAGCTCCGTCCATCAGCCAAGACAAATGTCCGTCCACCACTGAACGGCCCTTCAATCTAACCGAGCGGAGGGATCGGCAGACGCTCGAGCCTACCAACCACCATCCACATTGAACATCATCACAACTCATCATTCACAAGATGCGCAATGTAAAAGGTAGGTCGTCTTTTCTTCAGACTCTGACAGCTCGAATTGCATCTCACATCCTCTAATGCAGTCACCAGTGGAGCGTACACCTCGCGCACATCGCGTACAACTCAAACTACCGACGTTTCACCTCTCCGCAGCCCGTTCCACCCCGTTTTCACCATGCGACACTAAATCCTGAAGACATCTTGGCACGGCACTTGCCTCCACTCCCGACACGGACACACGGAGTCTTGTACTGTTCTGACCACTCAAACACCCGGCGTGCCTGAGATTGGTGGAACAGATGTCATTCCAAGACTTTGGCATGGGACCGAGCGCTGTCCTGTGTGAGAGCAGTAGGGGGACCCCAGGCAGCCTATAGTATTTATACCACGACCACGCAGCACTACTAACCGCAGCGCACACCCGGACAATGCTCAAAGCGTCGCTTCTGTCGTTCGTGGCCTTCACGGCCCAGGTCGCCCACGCGGCCTTTGGCATCACCACCAGCTCCAGCGCCTATGTCATCGACACCAACGCGCCAAACCAGCTGAAGTTCACCGTCAGCCGCAGCAGCTGCGACATTACCTCCATCATCCACTATGGCACGGAGCTGCAGTACTCCAGCCAGGGCAGTCACATTGGGTCGGGTCTGGGCTCTGCGACGGTGACCGCCACGCAGTCCGGGGACTATATCAAGGTGACCTGTGTGACGGACACCTTGACGCAGTACATGGTGGTGCATAATGGGGACCCAATCATTCACATGGCGACATATATCACTGCCGGTCAGTTGATTGTCTCGTTGAGGCGTGGTTGATGGCTGATACCTGGCAGAGCCGTCAATCGGCGAGCTGCGGTTCATCGCTCGACTGAATTCGGACGTGCTACCGAATGAGGAGCCGTTTGGCGACGTTTCCACCACCGCTGACGGGACTGCCATTGAGGGATCAGATGTGGTATGTGACTTTCTGACCTTTTGCAGAGGAAGACTCTGACGTAAACAGTTTTTGGTCGGCAGTGAAACCCGCAGCAAGTTCTACTCGAGCGAGCGATTTATCGACGATCAGCGACACTGTAAGTACTACCGTCTCGGCCCTGGGATATTACTGACCTTGCAGGCGTTGCCGGGGATGCCCACCGCGTTTGCATGATCTTGAATCAATATGAAAGCTCCTCCGGAGGTCCTTTTCACCGGTATGTCTCCAGCCGGGTCAGATGACAGGAAACTGACAACACAGGGATATCAACTCGAACAACGGAGGGAGCTACAACGCCCTCTACTGGTACATGGTGAGTAACCCACCAATATAGATGATCATCTCTGATAGTCTAGAACTCCGGCCACGTTCAAACCGAGTCCTACCGGATGGGTCTCCACGGCCCATACTCGATGTACTTTAGTCGCAGCGGTACCCCCAGCACCAGCATCGATACCTCATTCTTCGCCGACCTTGACATCAAAGGCTATGTTGCCGCCTCAGGCCGAGGCAAAGTGACCGGCACGGCATCCGGAGCAGACTCGAGCATGGATTGGGTGGTTCACTGGTACGCACCTTTCCCTGCGGTGTGGTCGTCAGCTAATGAGGATAGGTACAACGATGCGGCACAGTACTGGACTTATACCAGCTCCAGCGGCAGCTTCACCTCGCCCGCCATGAAGCCCGGAACGTACACCATGGTCTATTACCAAGGCGAGTACGCGGTCGCCACGAGCTCGGTCACCGTGTCCGCCGGATCAACCACAACGAAGAACATTTCGGGGTCCGTGAAGACCGGCACTACCATTTTCAAGATTGGTGAATGGGACGGACAGTACGTACCTATCCCCTGGCTACCAGACATCGTGCCAGCACTAACCTCACAGACCGACCGGCTTCCGCAACGCAGCCAACCAGCTCCGCATGCACCCCTCCGACTCGCGCATGTCCTCCTGGGGTCCACTGACCTATACGGTTGGCAGTTCCGCTCTGACTGACTTCCCAATGGCCGTGTTCAAAAGCGTCAACAACCCGGTCACCATCAAATTCACCGCCACATCCGCGCAGACCGGCGCAGCGACCCTGCGAATCGGGACGACCTTGTCGTTTGCCGGTGGACGACCCCAGGCGACGGTACTGCCCCTTCTCTTAGGAATTGTTTCAGTCGCTGACTTGCAAACAGATCAACAGCTACACAGGAAGCGCACCAGCCGCGCCGACAAACCTGGACTCTCGGGGCGTGACCCGCGGTGCGTACCGGGGATTGGGCGAGGTGTATGATGTGTCCATCCCGTCGGGGACGATCGTCGCGGGAACAAATACAGTAAGTTGGCTTGTGTGGGGTTGGTTAATGTTGCTAATGTGATGGGTAGATTACGATCAACGTGATCTCTGGCAGTTCGGGGGATACGTATTTGAGTCCGAACTTTGTAAGTTTTTGTTTGTGTGTTGGATGAGGGATTTGCTAACGAGTGTAGATCTTTGATTGTGTGGAGTTGTTCCAGTAGCTGATTGTTTCTCGGGCTGTATGGTGCAGCCGGGAGTAGATAGCTGCACTGGACAGTTCTAGTCGTATGTGGAGGAAAGACCTAAGATCAACTGAATTCATGACCTACTGTCATTTTCTGTTGAAGTATTGTTCTGCTTGAATAAATGTATGTGGTTCAGCCTGGCCACTCGGTACCCTGCATATTTCATTATAGCATAGTCGAAGAATAGAAAAATCCGTCTCCTACAATAGTAAGTGGACAGCTGTACTTACTGCTCTCTTGAGGAAAGTCCCTTATCTTAAGGGAGGAAGACTCGTACCCGGCAGAAGGAGTAGTTATAGTATTCTGTGAGTAGGGTATCTTTCCTATTGTAACCGAAAATACTCCCTTATAGATCAACGGGTCGGTCCGTCAGGTGCTTAAGGCGTGTCCAAGGGACGATGGACGGACAGAACAGCAGTACATACGGTGTCACCTTCGACTCTCTGTTCCATGTACTGTAGAATCCAGCCATGTCGAGTGCGGATCTGAGAGAAACGAAAGGAACTCTATGGAGAACCAACAACCTCAGCCCTTGGGAGGTGAGCTGCCAGGATATCGTCATTTACCTATTAACAGCTAAGTTTGAATTGAGATCTTCCATTGAACAAGGCATGGGCTGATTGGTCATAGATTAGTCATTATCGATAACTAAGTCAACTAAGTTAGACAACGACATCAACAACAGCTCAGTCACCAGCCACCCAGGACAAGGGTTTGGAAAACGTCTCGTACAGGTCAAAAACCCGCGTTTAGTCTTTTTGTCTACAGCAGTTCTTCGGCCGAGTGCCCGCTCCGCCAGATCTCCACACGTCCTTCCACATCCATCAATGCCCGGCGGCGCCCTCGCAGCCAGGTATGCACGTTTGTCTTGACTGGGTTGGGGTTTCCCGGCAGGGAGACATCATCGGCCATGTCCACTCGCACCCCGCGGAGATCAGATGAGATGAGCCAAGATACATGAGCATCCGGCACGCCGCCTGGCAAGTTCCAGTACCGGTTGATGGAAGACGTCGAAGACCTCCACCGATACCGCCCCGGCGGCTATCTTCCGTTACAGGTCGGGGATAGCTTAGCGGATGGCCGATACCAGCTGGTCGGCAAGCTTGGGCGCGGGGGCTACTCGACCATCTGGCTGGCCCGGGACTGCCCCGAAGCCCGATACGTCGCTGTGAAGGTCCTCACCGCGGACGCCAGCAGCCACTCCTCCTCCTCTGAAGTGAGGGTGCTACGTTCCCTGGCAAGTGCGGTGTCTCGTCCCGGGAAGGAAGTCCTTCCCGCCCCTTTGGGATGAGGTCTGGGTGGCCGGGTGCAATTGTCGGCATCGGTGTGTGGTGACGCCGCCGGCGCGGATGAGCTTGTTCGATGCCAAGGAGGAGGAGGCTTCGGGTACGGTGTCCGGGGTGTTTCGGCCCCCGGGTCGCGCAGTCGATGATCGCCCAGCTCATTCGGGGCGTCGCCTTCCTCCACAGTTTGGGGTTTGTACATGGCGGTTAGTATGGTGATGATATGATGTCCCTTCTCCTTCCTCCGTCAGACTCCGCGGGTGGATTTGGATAGAACTGACTCTCCGTTCCCCCCCCTCCACAAAGATCTGCATCTAGGTAATATTCTTGTTCAGTTTCCCCGCTCCATTGACAGTATCTCCCCCTCAGAGCTGTACGAGAGATACGGCGACCCCGAGTCGGAGGATGTGGGTCGTCTCGATGGCCACCCTTTAGCGGAGGGCGTCCCCGCGCGCGTGTTCATTCCCGGGTGGTACGGCGTGTGCGCTGTGAGGACCTCCCTCTCGGCGAGGAGCAGATCACGCTCAGCGACTGTGGGGAATCGTTTGCGCCGTGCGAAACGGTGAGGGTTGCTTCCAAAACCCTGCCACTTCTTCAGCCGCCCGAGGTGAGATTCTCCGACGAGCCGCTTTCCTGCGCCGTCGATGTTTGGGGTCTGGCGTGTTGTGCTTGGGAGATTCTCGGGCAACGGCCGCTGTTTGAGACGTTTTTTTCCGAGTCCGGATCGTGTCACGGCCGAGCAGGTCGAGGTGCTCGGGAAGTTGCCGGGGAAATGGTGGGGGAGGTGAGGTGGGGGAGGAGACGGGAGTGGTTCAGCGAGGAGGGCGAGCTGGGTCTGGTGAGGACGGGGAGGGCTGGGCCCGGTGGTGGGCGGAGGTCCTGGGAGAGGCGGTTCGAGGAGAGTATCCAGAAGCCGCGGGCTGAGGGGGGTTTGGAACCGGTGACGGAGGACGAGAGGGCGGCGCTGATGGAGATGCTGCGCGCGATGTTGGCGTTTCGGCCGGAGGAGAGAATCCCCGCGCGACAGGCTCTGCAGTCTCGGTGGCTGAGCGGTTGGGGCATGCCGGCGCTGCAGGAGAGCGGGGGGATTTCGGGCACGAGGATGGAAAGGACGTGAGTAGGCGTCAAGGGTCCATACTTATCAACTTGGCTGTGTCGGGGAGTCGAGTTGCTGCTCTGGTTTCTTTCTTACCGCTGCTTGTGGCTATTAAGGTTGGCGTCTGGTCTGCCTTGTGGCGTAGCTTCACCCGTTCCAACTGCGTCAAAGGTCATTCAGTCGAACCGCCGTGCCCCCACGGTTGTCGAAATGCTTCCTTGCTCAGGATTGCGACAGGCTCTGGAGAGCACAGAGCCCAGAGCCCAGAGTTCCCCCTTGCGAGCTTTTTAGAGTGGCTCAGTTACCATGATCGCAGTGGTGTCCAGCAGCGTGATACAAATCTGTAGTGTATTCACCTCCGTGGCGGCCTTCTCGCCTTGGCTCGATGCATGCATATAACAGTAACAACATCAAGTGAAATCAGAGGAGATGCTGTCGTCCTTTGACTCTCGCCTCGACGTGTCTTTCTTTCCCCCTCTTCTTCCTTCTGACTGTAGCTACTGCTGCTCCGCTTTCCTCCTTCCAGCCCATGGATCTGCTTTGTAAAGGCTATGCGGATGGGTCGGCATTGGCTCTTGTTGTAACTTTCTTACTCTACGGACTTCTTATAAAGGGTCCAATGTCTCGGGAGGTACAGTACCGCTTTGTGATCTATGTAAAGTATCTGAAGTGTTCATGCCGTGGTGCCCGCTGCGGTGATTGTCCTTTCATACTACCAGCGTACAGGTTCCGAAGATCGCAGGCGCATTTTTGCTAAAGAACATATCCCCTACCAAGAGGGATTATATGTGACCGAAAGCTTACTCGTATTAGGCTCACTCTCGCTCTTTGTGCACAAGGCTTCCGAGGAGTGACTGGTCAAAGTCGGCTGAGGACATTCGATGTGGTTACTATTGGGTGGTTGGATAATGAAAAGCGGAAGAAACAACGGGGAAAAGCCAGGTAGACGACGAGACCCATCCTGGATGTATTGCAATGTCTTTGGCGGGTTGGGAGGTTGGATCCAGGGGTTTGAACGGGAATCCTCTGCAGGCAGTTCGTGCTCGCATCATTCACTACGTGCAGGTCCAAGGAAGTTCGGTAGGAAGTTCTGTGTGTGGATGGATGGATGGACGGACGCTAAGTTTCTGTCACTGGCAGTGTGAAGAGACGAGTCCCGCCAATGGATGTTGGCAGGGTGGTAAGTTTTCAAGACGGATGTGGTACAGGAGTAGTGAGGCCTATGGCCTTGTTACTTGTGTGAGAAAAATACCCTCAGTGGAGCAACAAACTCGATCAGTCGGCTTCTACTTGACAGCTTAAGATCGGTCTGGCGCCTTGAAGGCTTCATCTAAGGTCCACGGAGTGCGCATCGTACTATATCTCAGCATGGAGTTGGAGCTTTTCGAGTAGAAAGATATTGATGAACAAGTGACCTTGCCTCAGGGCAATCCACGATACATTCAGCTTGTACGACGTAGACGATAAGGCTTTTATGACGCCGAAAGAACTCCATCAGAGCCATCAGGGTGGACAATGCGATTGTGGTTTTCCTGCTGTCCACATTTTCAGTGACATCTGAGATCTCGGAACACGGCACAGACTCCAGATCGCAGTCTGGGGATTAACATCCGAACCGCAAAAAGGAACAAACCCCACCCCAAGACCAGGCACAAATCACTTCGGCGATGTTTTCATCAATTCCGGCCAGGGGTTGGGCCGAGCCCCTGTCCAACATTCCAGCCAGAGAAGCCGAACACAGAACAAGCGGCATCCCTGGTTACCCATGCAGCCGCCGCTGTTTGTTTGTTCTGCCGTCCGTCAACAACACAGCATGACTCGACTCGTAGCCATTCTATTGCAATATCCACTCTGTCATACAGGGTGCCGAAACCGTCCTGCTCGGAAATAGGTCTGTGAGGCGTATATATAGCGAAAGGGACCGCATGATGGCGTCGTCCATGGCTGAAATGGCACTCGCGCTCCGGCCTATGAGCATTGTTTCTTGCACTGTGCCTGCTCGTCGACATCCATCACAAGGAAAATGTATGTGAAGCTATCATGTCTTGCCGCGATTGCGGTCGCGTTACTTCCATCCTCGGTGGTCGGGCGGGGGAAGAAGATCCCCTTCGGTCGCGACGTGCAACTCCTCGCGGAACTGGGGATAGAGCCGGACCTTGACCGTCATGAGTACGCAAGCATTCATTCAGCCGTCTCACACTCGGCGATGGTGACGATAAAAGACGAATACGTCTCGGTAAGGGTCGCAGAGGTTTTGTGTCGGTGGTACGGATCTAACGTCCGTAGATCCCGATCGATCACAACAACGCATCGGCAGGTACATACAGAAACCGATTCTGGGTGAGTGACGAGTTCTATCAAGCCGGCAAGCCGATCTTGGTTTACGACGCCGGAGAAACGGAGGCAGCCTCGGTCGCGCAGGCGCACCTCACTTCGTCGCTGTCATTCTTCCGGTCAACTCTGGAGGAATTCAATGCCATGGGGATCATTTGGGAGCATAGGTTCGTCTACCCGCACCGGAGATGCTTGGGTCGGCTCCGTGGACTGACGGCGTCAGATACTATGGCAAATCGACCCCCTTCCCTGTGAATTATGACACTCCGCCAGAGGACTATCAATACCTCACAACCAAGCAAGCGCTCGCAGATCTCCCGTACTTTGCACGGAATTTCAGTCGCAAGGCCCATCCCGATGTCGATCTCACTCCCGCAGGAACCCCCTGGGTCATGATCGGTGGCTCATACGCTGGCATCCGCGCGGCTTTGACTCGTCAGGAGTACCCGGATACCATTTTCGCTGCCTGGTCCTCCTCGGCCCCGGTACAGGCCCAAGTGAATATGACGAACTACTTCGACCAGGTCTACCGAGGAATGGTGGCCAGTGGGTGGGCCAACTGCACCAAGGACATTCGTGCCGGGCTAGAATACATCGATGAGCAGCTGTCGAGTAATCAAACGGCAGGGTCGATAAAGCAACTGTTCCTCGGCTCGGAAGCCGAGAAGAACTCCAACGGGGACTTCACAGCCGCGCTGGTGGCGATGTACGGGAGTTTCCAGTCGTATGGCATGGACGGGGGCACGGCAAGCCTGGGGGCTTTCTGCGAGTACCTGGAAGCCGACCCGAACACCAACCAAACTGCCGGTCCCGATGGGCTGGCCCCCATCTACGGCAAGCAATATGTGGCGGAGCGCTGGGCGGCTTGGCCCGTGCTGACGGCCCTGGTCAACCAGAACATGGACACCAATTGCAGGGGCCAGAACACCAGCCTGCCGCTGGAATGCGATCTGAGCAAGCCGTACGGCGACCCTTCAGCCATCAGCTGGACCTGGCAGTACTGCACCGAATGGGGGTTCTACCAGGCCAACAATGCCGGCCCCCATGCGCTGCTCTCAAGCTATCAGACCCTCGAGTATCAGCAGCATATCTGCAACCGGCAGTTCCCCGACGCGATCAAGAAGGGGCTCTTACCGGTCCAGCCTCTGACGGACCAGACCAACCGCGAGTTTGGCGGGTGGACCATCCGACCTTCGAACACATATACTAGTGGAGGGGAATTCGATCCGTGGCGGACCTTGTCCGTCCTGTCGACAGAGGATACAGCACCCCAGGGCGTTCAATTCTCCAGCGACATTCCGTTGTGTGGGGTGACGACCAATGGGAACACGGTCTTTGGATATATCCTGGAGGACTCGGAGCACTGCTTCGACTTTCAGATGCTCCCCACAGCCGGGAAACTGTCACGCGGGATGTTCAGCACGGCGCTGCTGCAGTGGCTGCCGTGCTTCGGGACAGGAGCGGGGACGTCAACCAAGAGTTGAGAGAGAGAATGGATCGACCAATTTCAATGTACATATTAGGCCACAATCAGATAGATGTTCTGAGTTTCCAGCAGATGGCAGAAGATTAGGGAAAGAAGGAGCTGGGTGGATAGTAAGTACTCAGGCTGTACTCCACCATTGCCGCTTCCGTCCTTCTAACCTTCTAACCCTATTCGGAGATGCTTGCGAATTTCCCCGGCCTCCGAGCCTCGAGCCATAAAATCACGAATCAGCCATGATGCTTTTCCCACTTTTCCTTTCCAATCATTGCTGTCTGGGTCGCTTTAACCTTTCGTTATCCTCTTGCGCCTCCAACTTTGAGTACTAGTGTGTCCCGAGGAGGCACACGGGGGCGTTTTTGTGACATGTGTCTCCACCGAGGAATCCTATGCCTAAATGCCCATATTGTACCGGTATAAATAAGTATATCTGGAACTTGCAGAGAAGACTTTCGTCAGGATCACCTCAAACTCACTTCAATACAGCTCATTTATTTATAATCCTACGATCAGCCAGCCCTTTGCCTTACTTCCAGGCATCTCCAGCATCATGCTGACTCTAATCACTCTGGTCAGCGGGGCACTGTACCTGACATATCAACTCCTGCGCTCCATCCGACAAACATTCAGAAACCGCAGAACCGCAAAATCGCTGGGTTGCGAGCCTCCACAAAAGATCCCATCTGATCCTCTCGGTCTCAAGAGTTTCTTCGAACTCGCACGGGCAGCGAAGGACAGCCGCGTAGTCGAATATATTGCGGGGTTCTACGATCAGTATGGACCCACGTTCAGCTTGACCGGGCTAGGAGGAGTCTCGATTCTGTCCACGGTTGAGCCTGAGAATCTGAAAGCCCTCTTAGCCACCCAATTCCATGACTTCAGCCTGGGTACCCGCCATCGTGAGTTCTACCCCCTGCTTGGGGACGGCATCTTCACACTAGATGGTGCGGGCTGGTCGCATGCCCGGGCGTTGTTACGGCCGCAGTTCACGCGGGATCAGGTAAGGCCAGCTCATATATCTCACGCATCTCAGGGCCCAGAAACTAAATGCGGGCAGGTGGCGGATCTAGATCTGATGGACGGTCACGCCTCCCGACTGATCGAGCTGATCCCGAAGAATGGCAGCGATTTCGATATCCAGCGCCTCTTCTTCCTGCTGACCATCGATTCCGCAACGCACTTTCTGTTCGGCGAGTCGGTCGACGCGATGCACTCTTCCGGCCACGCCGGGGTTCTGGAGAAGACAACAGTCGGGGATGCACAGGGCTTCGCGGAGGCATTCAACCTGTCGCAGGAGTACCTTTTCACCCGCAACCGGTTCATGGGCCTGTACTGGCTGGTCAACCCGAAGGAGTTCCAAGACGCCAACAAGCGCGTGCATGAGGTCGTCGACCACTATGTCCGACTGGCGCTGGCTTCGAAGAACAACCCGAACAAGGGTGCGGATCGATACATCTTCGCCGAGGCGCTGGCCGCGGAGACGGACGATCCGAGGGTCCTGCGCGATAACATGCTCAATATTCTGCTAGCAGGACGTGACACGACGGCCAGTCTGCTGAGCTCGGCGTTCTTCTACCTGGCGCGTCATCCCGCCGTCTGGGACCGGCTGCGGCGGGCTATCGTCGAGGAATTCGGTGATCGTGTGCATCCGCGGGCGAAGATCACGCAGGCGCGGTTGAAGGATATCCCATATCTGCGGTATTTCCTGAACGAGGGTAAGCGATTTATATTCTTCTGGAATTAGGCTTTATACTGACACTCGACCAGTCCTCCGTCTGCTGCCCCCCGTGCCACTCAACTTCCGTGTCGCTGTCAAAGACACTTCACTCCCGGTGGGCGGCGGCCCGGACGGCAAGGCCCCCGTGTTTATTCGCAAGGGCCAGCTGGTCACGTACTCCGTATATGCGATGCACCGGCGGGAGGACCTCTACGGGCCTGATGCGCGAAGCTTCCGGCCGGAACGCTGGGAGGAGAACGCCATCCGCGGGTGGGATTTCCTGCCGTTCAACGGCGGACCCCGGATCTGTCTTGGTCGTGAGTTACATCCCATAACCCAAGCCCCCGTCACTTCCCCTTTTAGGAAAATGCTTTGTTAACTTGTTGGATGGTAGAGCAATATGCCCTGACCGAAGCGAGCTATACCCTGGTCCGCCTGCTGCAGCATTTCGACCGTATCGAAAATGCCGCACCGGCGGTGGAGGAGCCCCGGATCATGTCCAATCTGACTTTGTCGCATTTACATGGGGTGGATATTCGCCTGTACCCGGTGGCATCATAGGATGTTTGTTTTTTTTTTCTTTCTGTATGCGTCGATGTATATGTTTTTTAAGCGATATGCAACCCACCTCGTATCGGGTGAGACAAGTCTACATTGCCGCGGGCGGATGCGACTCCCCCCCCTCATAAGTCTGAGACATGACGATATATACGAGATCCTACATTCTCATGCATGAGATGTCTCGTTATGTTTATGATGTTTGAATCATCTGATCTATCTTCCGTGTTATGCTCATGTGTCTGGTGCCTTGTTCCGAGTCATGTCTCGGAGATAGCCCGGAAGTATATGCAACCTTCCCTCTCAACACCAACCTTCACGGATCCTGCCATGCGTGAAGGGACAAACGTGCGGGAAGTTCCACGACCTCGTGTGAAAAAAAAAAAAGCCAGGACTTTCCTCGGCTAGTATTTTACCCCCTATAGCTCAGATTATCAGATGGAATCGTGTGATGTAAGGCAACCCCCGAGGTGCAGGCGCCCCGTACCGGCCAGCATCGTTGAATGGAAACGGACGATCATGATGTCAAGGCCACACACATACACACATACACATACAACAGAGTAAACGACAAACGTTGGAATGATGTAGTCCGCTTTGATAATTTGTGGGAAATTCGGAGATCCGATCGGCGAGTAAAGTGCACAATTCCTGCATGATAGCACAGCCTTAACGTCAGATTATAGTCTAGGGTTCTTTCTTCATGGCTGATGCTGACAGAGGGGAGGGAACAAAGTGCTTGTTTCTATAATTAAGTTAATCCACTTTTTGGCTGACACGGTTATTTTTTTTTTTTGGTGCATGCTGCTCAGGGGACAGGTGCATAGAGTTTTTGCATCAGATAGACGTTGGTTGATGGGGTAGGATTGTGATGATACAGTCCTGAAGATCCAATGGTCATTTTACTTGATACGTGAGCATAGATCGGGATCGACGGAGTAGATGAGGATCAACTGGCTCCAAGTTTGAGGTTTGTTGCATTGTATGTATTTGTTGAACGGAATAAAACTCGAGGGCAGAATTTTTCATTTTGCATGTTGTTTAGTGTTGAGTAGAATTCTAAGAAGTACTGTAAGCAGTACCTGGCAGAATGTGTGGTGGTTGTGGTTGATGACCTCCAGCCTCCAATTTCCCACAGCATGATGGGGAGATTTCCTCGTTGTGGGCCAGACAGATAGACAGCCAGACAGAACATGGAATGTCTCATTCCTCCCCCCGCCTTTCTGTGCCAATCACCATCTGTCTCCGACTTCGCCGCCCACCGTCGCTGACTGATTGTGCCCCAGACCAATCACCACGTCGACTCCAAAGCCAATCGGTCGTGGCCGGCGCCCAACCTTGAAGGCAGCCAGCGGAGCCTGGAGTAGCGGACAGTCCGTGAGTGGGCCGGCCAAGTCTCATCCTGCTCTTCTTGCTCTTGTTCTCTTTTGCCTCCCATCATTCAATCAATCCCGTTCAGCCTGCAGTATTCCGTACCAGTGTTCCTTCAAACCCGGGGAGGGTTCCTGGGGCAGTGAGCAGTGCCAAGTCCATCTGCACCCACCAATTCAACCACCACTTTAGTTCCTGTCTCCTCTCTTTCGTCCTTTCATGTGTTCATTGACTTTGTTCTTGCTTTGGTTCCTCTGATCTCCGTCTTCCATTGCCTCCTTAGGAAATTCGTCTCCCACGGCCTTGTTCCCCACCGGATCTGGTGGGAGTGCTCGCCGCTTCATACTTAAACACCCGTCATTCCCATTGCCATCCCTTCTTCATTACACACACACACACACACACACACAGCCTTCTTTTCGTTCTACAGCACAATATCTACCTCTGTACAGGATTCTCATTCTCTCGTCTTCATCTCTACATCTAATTCTCGCAATCATGAAGTTCCTCGCTTCTCTCGCTCTGCTCGTCTCCGCTGTTGCGGCCAGCCCCATCCAAGCTCGCGATACCGCTAAGAGCTTCTACCTCAAGACCTCCGGCGCTGCCAACGACGCTCACAACAACCTCTACGTCTACGCCTATCACACCGGCGCTGGCTTCAATGATGCTGTGCTCACCTCCGACACTTCCAGAGCCAGAGCTGTTACCCTGAACGGTACAAACGCTCAGTTCGACTTGGGCACCACTTTCCCCTGGGGTTTCAAGATGGGTGCCAACACCAACTATGCTTGTCAGTATTCGCCTCTCCGAAAGAAAAAAAAAATCCGCATTGGGCTAACCTCGTGTTGTAGCATGGGAACCCGTCCAGATCAATGTCGGTTACGGTGACGAAGGTTTCTCGGTCAACGGTACGAGCCTTCAGTGGTCGGAGCAGAACGGTTTCGGCGGCTGGTTGGGTAAGTGAACCCCGATTTGCACGAAGTTAATCATAGAGGGACCCTTGTCACTGACCGATTCTTTTCGTTATCTACTTTAGTCTGCGACTGGTACCACAACGCTCCTCAGCTCTTCTGGCTCTACAAGTACCTGCCGGCCACGATCCCTTCCTCCTGCGACAAGGTCGACCTCACCGTTGAATATACCTCCTAGACAAGGCACGAGGGGGGTATTTTGCTTTTACCACCACCACAACGACGCCTCGTGGTTGATGAATCATACGACGCAAAGATAAAGATCCGGAGAACTATTCGCCACCCTCCCCGCCAGCTTGACGCTTACAAGATCTGTATCAGTACGACGACGGTTAAGACTTTTCGCCCTGATGTTAATGCTAATTAATCGTAATAATGACCTGCGAAGGATGATGATGGGAAGCCAATGTATCTATGTGTGATTTGTGCGATAGCGTTCTGCTTTTGATTGGGTTCTGGCTATCGATGATTGTGGGACACAGTGAGAAATTTATACCGAGTACAAATTATACATACCATCGAGTGCCGTCGGCAAGTAAAGGAAGCAATAATTGGCAATAGTGGCTTGTAGATGTGCAGGATACAGGGTGCAAGGAGCGAATCAAGGTGCAAGGGTATGCACAACATTTGTCCAAGATGTGCGTTGCATCATGTCATCCGTGAGTGAACAATGCCTGACTGCCTCAGGCCAGTGAGTACCAAAAATAGCTGCGTGTCTCACAAATGGCCCAACTGGCCCAATCGGGTTAGTCCCCTCTTCCCCTTCTCCTTCTGCTAGTCTCTCGCTTCTCTCGCTCGCTCTCACTCTCGCCTCTCGTCTTCTGCTGCGCCTGCCTGTGGTCTGTTTGGACCAGTTTTTATTTACTCTTTTATTCTATCCTCCTCTGCATCGTCCCCAGATAAGTGTCAGTCGCTTCTCTGTCTTCGTCCTTTGCAGTTTTGTTGAGCGCCAGACCCCGTCACTCGCTTTGTTTACCCACCCCGACTCTCGCTGGACCCTGCCGATAATCTATCAGCCGATCTGCATGTTTCAGGCCCGCTGGCCTAAAAAGACCGACCACCCGCTGCAGTTCCATCGTCTTGTCAATCTCTGGGCACCGTTTCCATCGCCATCGACTGCATCATCCGCTTAATCTCAATCGCTCGACACATTGCACCTCCTTGTCTGAGAGACGAATCCTCATCGCAGCGACGGCCCACGTCGATCGGACCCTGAATTTCGCCAAGGGGGATCACTCGACCCCTCGGTTTTCACCCACTCTCTACAACCTCCATCGTCCGCACAGCCCGCACCACCATCATGCGTTCCCTATACCTCCTACCCGCCTTGTGCATCCTCCTCCTCCTGGGGACGATCTCATCGGCGTTCCCCTCCCCTGGGGACGATTTGGCGCACGGTCAATTCCTGCGGCGAGCTGGTCAGTACCGCCTCAGCCCCTAAACGCTGGCTCACACTTCCTCCATACTGACTATACCAAAGACACCACAGCAGCCGACAGCGCCACGACCGGGCAAGCCGCCACGACCGGCAAGAGTGCAGCCAAGACCGATTCCGCTACCGACTCGGCCACCGACTCGGCCAAGGAGACCGCTTCAGGGACGAAAGCCACCGGCAAGGCCACGGGGACCGCAACGGGGACGGCCACTGGCACCGCGACCGGGACCGACACGAACAGCGGGACCGAGACGGGATCCGATTCATCGACCAAGAAGGGCAGCACGAAAACCACGTCCAGCAACTCGACGACCACCAATGCCTGGGCCGGTGGCATCTCGATACTGACGCCCGCGACGACAACCACGACGTACTACAAGATCGGCAACTCGGTGACGTTCGCCTGGAACTACACCTCGCTGGACGTGACGCCGACGGCGGTCAACGTCATCGCCTCGTGCAGCCTGAACAGCCACAAATACACGATCACGCAGAACATGACCGTCAAGGAGACCAACAAGGTCGTCTGGGACACGGGCGAGTACAAGGCCAACGCGACGGTCCCGCTGCTGACCGCCTCGTACACGCTGATTGTCTGGGACGCCAGCAAGGCCATCTCCGACACGGCCAAGGGCGGCCACCTCAGCGCCGCCAGTTACACCTTCGCCATGTACAGTCCGCAGTCGTACACGCCCTTGAATGGTTCGTCTCTCCCGACTTCCCCCCGCCCTTGGACTCAGTGCTAATTGATATACCCTCTACAGGATTCGTCTGCGCCACCTGCAGCGGTGCCCTCTCCGAACTCGAACGCCAAGGTCTCAAATTCGTGTTCGGCATGGTCCTCATCACGATCACCACCTTCACCTGGTTTGCCGGTGATTTTGGGGTCTTTTCCACGTAGGGCGATTTTGTGTAAAAATGTTATGAAAGCAGCCATCCTATTTCTAATTTTCTGTTTTATCTCGCACAGAAGCAAATGTAATCCTGCATCATGGTTTGGTTGTGCAAAGCGAACGGTTTTCTGTTTTTCGTGCTCTCCTCATATCCATGAATAATAGCGAACTCGTCCTTTACTACATGTCTTGTTTCAGTTGGCGTGTTTTTTTTTTTTTTTTTTATTTTGGCGGGGTGGTGGTGATAATGTATGTTGTTGATAGATTGATGATTATTCTATGGGATTCTGGGATCTAGAAGTTTGTTCTGTGGATTGGCAATTGTGCTGTAGATGGGGGATTGCTGTATAGATATGTGTGTGTGTGTGTGTGTGTGTGTGTGTGTGTGTATCTGCATATGCACGAATGCATGTGTTCATGCACGGGTCATAATGGTACAGGTACAGCACATCTTTCTTTACTGAGATACTGGGATACTGGGATACGGGGATACGGGGATACGGGGATACTGGGATACTGGGATTCAAGGGTTTGCGAGTAGGATTTGAGATATACGATGAATAAAGTCTATTCTTTCTCTTGTGAGATTGGGGTTGAGGTTGCTTTGTGGGTATGTAGATGCGTTATGTATGGCTCTGGCGTTTTTGTTTCCAGTCTGGATCTTTCACTAAAGATGTGCGAGAGTTGGCTCTTATTTGCGATGCAGTGTGCTTTCAACTGGGCTCGGCGAGCATAGGTTACACATCGTGATGCTTTTTGAGGTGCTGTGTTTGAGGCTTTCATTTGAGGTTGGTGATGTGGGTTTGGTTGGTTGGTGATGGGTAGCTTGGTTTGATGGTTCGCTTGGTTGTGCAGTGGCTTTGTTCTGCTTGTGTCTTGTTGATGGGGTTTGTGGATTTCCGGGTCTAGGTGACGATATGCGGTGGGGGGTTGGGGGGGTTTGGATTGCTTGAGGTCGTGGTTTGTCGTGAGGTCGGCGGTTTGAAGGGCTGATTGTCTGTGTTTGGGAGTTGGGGTTGGATCCTGAGACTGGGATGGAGGGCTCCTTGAGTTGGGGTGATGGTAAGCGCTACTGGATGCGGACAGGTTGATGAGTGGTATCGAATTGATGTGCAAGGATTTAGAAATGTTTGTCTTTGTGGGGCTGATGAAGATGTTGAAGACTATTTGATGGCCGTCTCTGCTTGTCACTTTCAATCGGCGACACAGCTGGGATGATAGGCTTCCCAGACGGTCGTGGACTGCTGGCCGTCCGTGGATGGGACGAGTTTCGGCCTGCGGACGGCGGGTAACTGGGCCGCGGTGTCGGTCAGCTTGTTGCATTTCAGGCACGGCGTTTGTTTGATGTCGGAGTACGATGATATCATCTCCTACTGCTGCGTTAGGTATGTACTGGAGATGTTCGAGGGAGAGAACTCACCAACAATTGGAGCAGGTCCCACTGCCGGGGACGCGAGTTCAAGCACTGCATGACCGCCCCCTCGAGCTTGGTGACGGGCTGTCCAGGCGCCGCCTTACTGGCGATCCGCCATTCCGGCACCCCGTGGCTCTCCAGCCCTTCAACGGTGTGAACCTGGAAGACCATGCCCGCCTTCACCAGCGCTACCAGCACTGACGCCTCCTCGGTCTTACTCGTCTGCACCCGCACCCCGGGCACGTTCCGCTGGGCAAACCCCTCCACAATCGCCCGCCAGCCGCCCTCCGTGGCCTGGATCTTCGACCGCTCCGCCTCCTCCTCGACGCTCCGCCGCTCCGCCTGCTTCCCTTGCTCCTCCCGGACGAGCCCCTCCAGCAGCACGTCGTAGTCCTCCTCCCACATCCCCGTCGGCTGCAGCAGCTGGCCTCCATTCCCCCGGATCTGGGCGTCGACCCGATCCCAGACGCTCTTCATCTCCGGACTCCGCCACAGCGTCTGGAACTCCGCGACCTCCCGCACCCCGCTATGGACGCATTGCTTGAGCTGCTCAAACACCGCCCGCGGGGATGGTGATGTTGATGACGATACGCCCTGCTGCCGGCCGCCGGCCGCTATGCCCGGGTTGGCGGCCGTTATCAGGGGTTCCAGTAACCTTCCTGGGAGCAGTGTGCGCAATTGATGGATCTGTTTCGGTTGTTAGTGGAGCGGTTCTCAGCCAAACACAAAAAAAAAAGGAAAAAGGGATTGGGCTTTTTTTGTTGCTCTCACCATTCCCTCCAATTGCTGGAGCTTCGCGAGCGATGACACAAGCTGCATCTCGGTGTCCCAGACGTCATTGTCAGGGTTGACTACGCTGGACTCGCTGGTGTTCGCTGTGGACATCTTCACGTCCTGCGAGGAGGCGGCGGTCATTTCCGGTACCACGATGGGCATTCGAGGCGGGTTGGGGCCGGGTTTGGACGCTCCGGCCATTTTCCCTGTGGAGGAGTGAAGTGCGCGTGGCAATAGTTCGATGAGGGTAGTTTAGAACACAATATGGCGCCTCAATAGGGTGTGCTTCTTTCAGAATATTAACACCTAAATGAGCGCAGATCAAATGAGAGATGGCCCGATAATTATTGATATAGGCTGCGGTCAATAAAGAATGAGCTATGAATTTGCATACAAGCTTCTTGCAAGCGCGCACAGTCACTTCAGACTCAGTTGTGCTTTCGCCAAACCAGTCAGATGAGCGCCCAGCTATAAATAAAGCAGTTGTCTTGCTATCAGATGAAATAGCTGCACAATCGGTGCGTGTAAGAGACCGCGGCGGCCGCCGAGAGAGGATGGAGACCTGCTGAGTAAGACGGGCCAGCCACATGCTCCAGCCACAGTGATATGTCTGGCAGAAAGAGGAGTTTCCTGTACACCGCCCTCTACACCGTCTGGGAGGATACTGTTAGTCACACCCTACGTAGCCTCCCACGTCACAGAAGTGGGCTCTGGCCCGTGTGTTCGCCTCATTAAACTATGGAGTATGCGAAGATGACATGGTCCACTGGAGGCATTGATGGTGGTGGTCGTCGTGGTGGTGGTCGTGGAGGTTGTCCCGTCAGGTGTTAAGTTTTGGGGAGGGGTCAATTGAGGATACTGTTTACATAGTAGGCATGATACTGCTTCTACTTAGTATATGCCTCCATTCCTCCGGTCGGTCCTTGGGTCCAGGGACCGTGCTCGGGGCCATAATATGAAAGAGAGAGCTACACAAAAACCATCAGGGCTTTTTCATTATCACTCAACACTCAATGTGTATGGTCTTCCTTCGAGGCCCTTCCTAGCAGCCCAACTACAAACGCCATCGCTCAAGGGGGTGGATGCAAACTTCCCAATGGAGGCAGATCGTCGACGGGGGCTGGTTGAGCAGGCAGGCCAGACTGATTGATGGGCATTATATAACGATGTTGTGACTCTAGGATAGGTAGCTACTCAATTCTATCCGGGTAGTATTGTCTTCAATAGTTAAAGGACTCAATGGCGGCCTTCCGGTGAACAGAGCCACAATCGTCTTTTTTCCCCCCTCTTGACACTTAACCCCACAGAAGCATAAGATATACAGACAGGCCTCTCTACCTATTATTCACAATAGAACTAAACCAAACCTTCTTCTTGCGTGGTCTGCGCCTTCGTGGTGCCCTTCCATTTGCCGCCATCCGATTGACCCTTTTTGACAGGCACTCCAAGCTCTCTCCCCGATCGAGTTCGTCATCGCCCAACAGTATTCTGGGAGAGGCGAACACAGCTTTGAGTCGTGAGATCAGAAGATTTGAATTGGGTCTGTGGGTTGTTGGTTGCCCTTGCCCGGAACCATCCAAGTGCGGGAGGAGAAGGGAGAAGAGCCTGAGGCCCTCATCGGGTTTCCCCCCCTCCCAGACTAACCAGAGCCAGGCAGAGTGACAGACAGACAGACAGACAGACAGACAGACAGACAGACAGAGTGACTTGCACCTGCACTTGCACTCAAGTACTAAGGTACTACGTACAGTACAGACAGCCTAGCCAGTATCTCCACCTCCACCACAGCCAACCTTCCCGAACTCCTCCTCCTCCTCCTCTTTCCCTCAGCTACTCTTCTCTCCTTCCCTCTTCTTCTCTCTCTTCCCCTCCTCCACAATCCTCTCCAGCTGGATTTATTTCCAGTTCCCTCCCAGTCATTTTGAGACTGTGCGCATTTCTGCCTGGATTCCTGTCCTAACCGGGACTTCCAGTCAGTCCCTTCTTGCCCATCTCTTCTCCCCCAACCCCCTTCGCGTGTGTCAGCTGCCGCATCGATACTGGTTTGCTGCGTCGCACCCACTCCTTCCCCCCCCGTCCGTCATTGTGTATTGCGACCGCCCAACCTCCGTACGGACACACCTCGTCGCTCTTGTCTTCTTCCACCAACCAACTAACTCAACAACACAACCGGTCATTCGGAACATGACCTCCAGCGCTGCCTAGATCTACTCCCTCAATTCCTTCATTTGCCTCGTTTGGAGACCTAAGTTATATACCACATACCTTCTTGACTTGCTGGTGTGCCGCGTCGTCTCCGCCTGATTGCGCTACGTGCGTCGGCCGTCCCCGCCTGCTATCTAACGCTCCGATCGTGGTGCATGTGCGCTGTCGACAGAGATAGATGATCATCAAACTCCCGATTTGATCTATCTTTGCTACTGAAGTGGCGTCACTAAACCAGCGTGAAGAGTAATCATGGATTCCCAGTGGCAGCCTTACCAGGATCCCTTACTGGGCCATTCGGCGCAGTTCAACAACGGCCTGACGTCGAATCCACAACAGCACCTAGCCTCAAAATACGGCGGCCAGCCACAGCACTCGCAGCCCCCGGTCGGATACTCCTACGAGCCCTTCCAATCCCCTGCCGGTTCTGGGAAACCTTCGTCGACCGTGACGAACTCCAAGACCGTCTCGATGGCCTCGTCTCCCGCTGCTACGCCACGTAGTCGAGATTATGTCACCGATGCGGATACCACCATGGAGGACGCCGATCCGTATAACCGGGCCAAGTACACTGCACGGCCTGCCCACCACAGCCGGCCGTCCTCTCAGTACTTCTCCCATGAAGAGTCTTCGGCCGCTCGCAGATACTCCCCCGGGAACGTCTTGTCGTCGCCCATGTCTTCGTATAATGCCAGTCCCGGGAAACATAACTCGTACGCATTCCCGCCCGGCCCGAATCAGTCGCGACGCTCGCCCACCAGGGCGCCGAATTACGCCTCACCTCCACAATCATTTCAGTCACCGCCTTGTGAGTGATATCCACTGCCCTCGTGGTTGCTTTAAGGTTCATCGTCGCTAACCTCTTCCTTGCTTGTTTGGCAGCCGGTTCGCGACCGCCTCGACTCCCTCCTCTGCAGCCTACCGATATGAGCCCCGATCAGTTCTATCCGCCCTCTGCGGGCTCTCAGCTCAGCGCAGCCTTCGCGCAAGACGGGCGATCCCCTCGTTCTGCATCTATCTCAGGTGGCAGTCACTTGCCCGGTCGAGGACCCATTCCCAAATTCCACAAGATCAAGTCAGTGTCGGATCTGCAACCGCACCTGAATGCGCAGCCGCCTTTCAGACGTGCCAACCCCGAAGGTGGCTTTATCAGCGTATGTTCTGGTACCCCACGGCACATGCATGGATTTGTTCTGACACTTCTACACAGCCCCTTCAGGCGTTGACAACACATCTTCCCGCCACTTATCGCATATGCAATCCGGGCTTCAACTACGAGTCTTCGAGAAATCCAAGGCGAGTCCTGACGAAGCCCAGTAAAGGCGTGAAGAACGATGGCTACGACAATGAGGATAGCGACTATATTCTCTATGTCAATGACATCCTGGGTAGTGAGGAAGCAGGTCACAAGTAAGTAGCTTGCGCGAAGGTCTCCGCATAGGATTTGGGCATCTTCGCTAATAGCATCAGGAATCGCTACCTTATTCTCGACGTACTGGGTCAAGGAACCTTCGGGCAAGTTGTGAAGTGCCAGAATCTGAAAACTGGAGAGGTCGTGGCCGTGAAGGTCATCAAGAACAAGACAGCCTATTTCAACCAGAGCATGATGGAAGTGTCGGTCTTGGATCTGGTAAGCTCAGGCTTTTCTGGTTGCATGGAAAACTCACTAATCACGGGCACAGCTCAATAGCAGGTACGACAAGAACGACGATCATCACCTACTCCGCTTGAAGGACACTTTCATTCACAGGCAACACCTTTGTCTTGTGTTCGAGTTGCTTAGTGTCAACCTCTACGAGTTGATCAAGCAGAACCAGTTCCGAGGTCTTAGCACGACCTTGGTGCGCGTATTTGCCCAGCAGTTGCTCAATGCTCTGAGTCTGCTCAACAAGGCACATCTGATCCACTGCGATTTGAAACCGGAGAATATATTGCTAAAGAAGTGAGTTGCTCGTCCAGGCACCTGTAGATCGTTGGAGCTAACTCTACGCCTCGCAGTCTGGAGAGCCCCATTATAAAAGTGATCGATTTCGGCTCAGCATGCGATGAGAGGCAGACTGTCTACACCTACATCCAGTCGAGATTCTACCGTTCGCCGGAGGTTCTTCTTGGCTTGCCGTACGTCCCACCGCAATCGTCTCCCGCCTAACATTTTCCCCTGATGGACGGCACGACTGACAATTCCCTAGCTACTCTTCTGCGATTGACATGTGGTCCCTTGGATGTATCGTTGTGGAACTGTTCCTGGGCCTTCCGCTTTTTCCTGGTTCCTCGGAATACAACCAAGTCTGTCGAATCGTCGAGATGCTGGGCCTCCCTCCGACATGGATGCTAGAGATGGGCAAGCAATCGGGCGAGTTCTTCGAGAAAACCCAGGATGAGTTCGGCAGGAAGACGTATCGCTTGAAGTCCCTCGAGCAGTATTCTCGCGAGCACAACACCAAGGAACAACCAAGCAAGAAGTACTTCCAGGCTTCAACCCTTGAGGAAATCATCCGCAGCTACCCGATGCCCAGGAAGAACATGAAACAAGCGGAGATCGAGCGAGGTACGCCGTCTGCCAACATACTCTCCGAATGCATGGACTGACAACTCTTTAGAACTCAATAACCGCATAGCGTTCATAGACTTTGTTCGGGGGTTGTTGACCATCAATCCGCTCGAGCGTTGGTCCCCACAACAGGCCAAGTTACACCCCTTTATCACGCAGCAAAAGTTTACTGGGCCATTCGTCCCTCCGATGAATCTGAAGTATTCATCTCTAAATAAGACGGTGGCGCCTGGAATCCAGCAGCAGCAGCAAGCGGAGGCAGCCAGTAAACAGCGGGCGGCACAAGCAGCACACGCCCAGAGTGCAGCACAAAATGCATACAACATGCAACTGAATCAGTTCCACACACCAACCCATGCCCAACCGCCACCGATCTATAACGGGATGTATGCTGGCCATCAGCAAGGTGCTCCTCCGCCGTACCCCAACCAGCCACCAGCCTACGGTCATCAAATGAACATTCTCCCAGGGCAGATGCCGCAACAGCAATACGCGCCATCACAGACCCTCTACGCCCAGGCAACTACGAGGGCCGGCCGACAGCGTGCATCCACCATGGACCCCCAGGGTGGAGGCATTCCGCCGACCATCCAGCGCGTGGCGAGTCATCTCGATCCCAATGCGCCGATCAGGCTGCAACCGAGCCCAGCCTACTACCCCCCTCCACCAGATGGATATGTTGATGCCAACTCAGCCAACCAGCAAAGGCGTCGGGGAAGCCGAACGGGTGGCACAAGAAACCGGGACTTTATCCGGACTCTAGAAGACGGTGTCCTAGGAGGTGAAGGCTTCATGAGCCAAAATCAGTGGCACTGAAGGTGATGAGACCACTGGCAATTTGGTCGCACCTGGCCGGTGCATCAGCCTCGCTGACTAAAATTCGATCGAGCAAGCACATGTTCCATGTGCGTCTACCACGAGAGAAGAGCAGTCAGATAGCTGTTCTCGCGTGTCCTCCTTTCGTGGGATTCTGCAAGTGTTTTCCCCCCAGTCTTCCCACCACCAAGTATTCCCAAGTTGGACCGCTCGCTCTCAAGCCACAACAGTACCGTCACGCAACCCTGCTCCATATGCAGTCTGCTTGTTGATCAGCATACAACATTCGATATCTTTAGCCCTACTGCATTCCCTGGAATATAACGGAGGGAGCCTCCCGTGACACTCCGATGTCATTATAGTGACTAGCGCGGGTCCTAGTCCAGCGTAAAGCGCCTTCCGGTGGCGTGTTGGTATTTATTTTGCCGATCATCGACGGATTCAATGTCTGTGACGATCTTCCTAGGTTCCATGTCTCCTCCTCGTGTCAACTCTCTGACCATGTGTGTGGTGGGTTTCCGGCATAGCCAGGAGTATTGGAAAGACTTCGATTTATGTCTCTTTGATAGTGCTTATGTTTTTTGTTCACATTCCTGATTATGCTTCGCACAATCTGCACGGAAATGCCTCTGCTATGCGCCGATGCGTCGAATTGTCTTCGTTTTCCGTTTTGCCTTCTGATTCTCCCTTTGTTCTTTTTACCCTCTTTGTTCTCGTGTGCAACCGAAGAGAGAAAAACATGGCTGTAGCTTGGATATTTGAATATGGACTGCGGTATATGAGGATAGGAACGAATGGCAAGAGGGCATATAGAAGTGTTCTGATATTTTCTGATATGGAATAAGGATATACTGATAAATGCATTGACGATTCTCCGCAATATTGAAATTGAGGATGGCGGAGTCGAGTCTAGAAACTAGAAGCGGGATGTGGTTGTCTAATTCCCCGATGCGGTTAGGTGTGGCCTCGCTTAAATTTCGTGTGTGGCTCGCGCAGCCCAACCTCTGCGGCTCCCGCCGTACCCTCACAACTGAATTTGCTCCCTAAGCAAAAGAAACAGACCGACTGGCTCTGAGGGATCTACGCTTCTATCCCTGAACGACTGTGCGTCACCCCGTCGATATTTTTTTTTGTGACGGCAATCCATCGATTCTCCGCGACTTTCTCCGGTTGATTTCAGCGTTCGAAAAAAAGACAACACCTCAACACAACCCGCAAACATGTCGCGTTTCTTCTACGGTGGCGGTAGCGACAGCGAGTCCAGCTCGTCCGACGAGGAGGAGCTCTACAGTGATCGTGAGGAGGAGGAGCAGTCCGAGGAGGAATCCAGCGAGGAGGAAGAGGACTCTGAGGAGGAGTCCTCGTCCGAGGATGAGGGCGCCGGCAAGACCGGTGCCAGTCGTTTCATGAGAAATGTCTCGGACAGCGAAGAAAGCGAGGACGAGGAGAAGGTTACGGTTGTCAAGAGTGCCAAGGACAAGCGTCTGGAGGAACTTGAGGGCACCATCAAGTTGATCGAGAATGCCGAGAAGATCAACGACTGGGCGGTCATTTCGACAGGTGCGTTGGATTACACTGGACTCCGCCAGGGTCGTCGACACAGGGCGGCAAGGAGGAGGAATCACGGTGGTTGGATGCTAATTTGGGATCAATCTACACAGAGTTCGACAAGCTGAACCGCCAGGTCGTCAAGATCACTCAGTCTGGCCCCGTTCCCCGTGTCTACGTCAAGGCCGTTGCCGACCTCGAGGATTTCGTCAACGAGACCGTCGCCAAACAGAAGTCGGCGAACAAGAAGATGAACGCCAGCAACTCCAAGGGTTTCAACGCCGTCAAGCAGCGTATCAAGAAGAACAACAAGGACTACGCCGCCCAGATCGAGAAGTACCGCAGCAACAAGGATGGTTATCTGGATGGAGCCGACGAGGAGGCCCGCCCTGTCGTCAGCGCCCCCCGTCTCACCAAGGTCGAGCGCGTCGAGGCTCCCCTTGCCGCTGCCCCCGCTGCCACTGCTGCTGCTGCCGATGATGGCTTTGCCACTGTCGGACGCGGTGGTAAGACCCTCCAGTACACCCCTGAGAGTATCCTCAAGCACCTCCGCGTCATCGTCGAGTCTCGCGGAAAGAAGAACACCGACCGTCTCGAGCAGATCCGCACCATGGAGAAGCTTCTGGAGGTTGCTCAGAGCCCTTACCAGCGCATCCGTATCTACCTGACCCTCATCTCCACCCGCTTCGACCTCACCTCTTCTTCTTCCGGCAACTACATGGCCGTCGACCAGTGGAAGTTCGCCGAGCAAGAGTTCGCTACTCTTCTGTCGGTCCTCGAGAACAACCGCGACTACGTTGTGACCGAGGGTGCCGAGGAGTGGGAGGATGACGAGAAGCAGCCCACGGTTACCGCCGGCGAGACCCTGCACATCCCCGGCAGCATCGTTTCTTACGTTGAGCGTTTGGATGACGAACTCACCCGCTCCCTCCAGAACATCGACCCCCACACCGCGGAATACATTGATCGCTTGGGTGACGAGAAGCAGCTGTACACCAACCTCGTCCGCACTCAGACCTACGTCGAAGCTCTCACCTCCGCCGAGAAGAGCGACCCCAGACAGGACAGCATCAACAGAGTCGTTATGCGGAGATTGGAGCACATCTACTTCAAGCCCTCCCAGGTTGTCACCATCCTGGAGGAGGCTACTTGGAAGGCTCTCCCCGCCGAGTTGGACACCAAGATCACCCCCCGTGCTAACGTCGGTGATGTGACTGAGCTTGTCCAGACCCTCTGCAACTACCTGTTCAAGAACAGCGACGGTATCATCCGCGCCCGTGCGATGCTCTGCCAGATCTACTTCCTCGCCCTTCACGACCAGTACTACCGCTCTCGCGACCTGATGCTCATGTCCCACTTGACGGAGAACATCGCCAACTTCGACGTCAGCACCCAGATCCTCTTCAACCGCACTCTCGTCCAGATCGGTCTCTGTGCCTTCCGTGCCGGTCTCATCTACGAGGCCCAGACCACTCTCTCCGAGGTCTGCGGCAGCGGCCGTCAGAAAGAGCTTCTGGCTCAGGGTATCATCCTCCAGCGCTACTCCACCGTCTCTCCCGAGCAGGAGCGTCTGGAGCGCCAGCGTCAACTCCCCTTCCACATGCACATCAACCTGGAACTCCTCGAGTGCATCTACCTCACGTCGAGCATGTTCTTGGAAGTCCCTCTCATGGCTCAGACCTCTTCCTCCCCCGAGATGAAGCGTCGTGTCATCTCCAAGACCTTCCGCCGCATGCTCGACTACAACGAGCGCCAGGTCTTCACCGGTCCTCCCGAGAACACCCGTGACGGTGTCATCATGAGTGCCAAGTTCCTTGCCGCCGGTGACTGGAAGAAGGCCGCCGAGATGCTCAACTCGATCAAGATCTGGGACTTGATGCCCCAGCCCGAGAAGGTCAAGGAGATGCTGTCGCAGCAGATCCAGGAGGAGGGTCTCCGCACCTACCTCTTCACCTACGCTCCCTTCTACGACAGCCTGTCGCTCGCCACCCTGGCCACCATGTTCGAGCTCCCCGAGAAGAAGATCCAGGCCATCATCAGCCGGATGATCTCCCACGAGGAGCTGGCGGCCGCCCTGGACCAGGTCAACGACGCCATTGTCTTCCGCAAGGGCGTCGAACTGTCGCGCCTCCAGTCCCAGATCGTGACCCTGGCCGACAAGTCGATGAACCTCCTGGAGGCCAACGAAAAGACTCTCGAGCAGCGTACCCAAGGCATGGCCAACGCCTTCCAGCGCGATCAGGGCGCCGGCGCCCGTGGTGGCCGCGGTCCTCGAGGTGCTGGGCAGGCCCGTGGCGGCCCTCGGTTGCCCGGTGGTCAACAAGGCCGCCGCCCCGGTGGTCAGCAGTTCAGCGGTGGTGCATTGGGTGGAGCAATCAAGGCATAAAAGAAATGTTTTGTTAATGGCAAATTGATTGTTTTATTTCTCTCATGGTTATAATGCTCAAGCTTCTTCTCTTTCTCGATTTTCTGGAATCCCTTTGACTTCTCCTTTCCCTGAACCCCCTGCTCTCTTTCCTCCCTCCCTCCGCAAGCTTAACGTACGATATATGCCATGTGCTTTCATCCCTCCGTCTCTCATCACGGAGCCAAATTCCCTTTTTCTCTCTTGCTGGAATGACTGTCGTCGTCCCATCGTCGACGCCTCTTTTTCCTCCTCTACCTTCTGGATCTCCACATCGTACCTTTTGCTTTTTGCTTCGACTTTGCAGAGATGAATATGACGTTTAGAATGAATGGGGGTGGTACACAAAAATTCCAGGCGATGGAAACTTTCCAATGTGATGTATGAGATTTAGAGGGCGAAATAGGAATTGCTGAAGATACTCATAAGATCTTCCGGCGTATATGTATCTGCTATATATTGTAGGTCCCTATACACTTGACTTGGTGTGATACAGCTTTGGCTGTCAAGTCCGAAGGCCCATGGTGGGGGCTAAGTATATGTATGTACATGACGGGTCTTGTAGCCAGGTATCTTTGCGGTAACAGGATGAATATGTGACCATGCTACTAGGCTTATTGACCACGCGCGAGAACCCGTTGTCTTCGCAGATGTGTTCTTGGTGGGCCACGTAGCACCAAGGGGCGTGACGCCGGAATGGTTTCGCCGCGGGTTTCTGAAGTTTCTCGTACCCTGGCGGCGACAACTGTGTGTGTCTACGGTCAAGGGCTGTCCTACCAGACGGCCAATTCAGGGTGATGGCGGTGCTCAGCCACTATCGTCTAGCAGATTCTGCGGCGACCAATACTCGTTCTCTTCGCCTTGGGCATCCAGCCAAACAAGCCCGTCGGCGAGCAGATCGTCGACCACCGTCTGCGCTCGCGCCTTCTCCCACTTCAAGTTGACCCGCAACATGGAGATGCTCACGTAGCCCAGGACCTGGATCACCTCCAGAACGGTGGCCTGATCCGTGTTGAGTTCCTTGGGGACCGACCGGATATATTGTTTGCTCCCGACACGAATGATGGCCAGGCCCGAGCCCAGCGGCTCCAGGGACTGGACCGCACGGAGGACATCGTCACTACACGAAGAACCATTCGCATCAGTTTTGAGCTTCTCGACGGAGCCAACCATACCATAGTGAGGATATTCTTACTCGGTAACCTCCAACCCACTCCCGATCGCCCTGCCCTTGCCGACTCGCCGGCGGCACTCCTCCACCCCGATCAGACCCCCGTTCTCGCTCCGCGTCTCGCGGCAGAGCTCCACCACCCGCACCGCCACTTCGAAGTAGAAGTCGTTCATGTCGCCGCCCATGATCTGCGTCCAGAAGCTGGCGTTCTCGCCGGAGGAGCCTTTGCGGGAGGAGTTCTTGGTGCCGCCCCTGATGTTGCTCCCAGCCAGCGGGTCGACCCCGATCGCGTTACACATCCGGGCGAACTCGGCCCGGAAGGTCGGGTTCGATTTGATCTTCGAGCCGTGTTCGACGGCGAAGGTGTGCAGTAGGGACTGGAAGACGGAGAGTTGCGTCTGCAGGGAGGCCAGGTGCGCGGAGCGGAGGTTCGCCCCGTGCGTCGCGTAGGATTGGCTGGTTTGCGTGCGGTTGGCGAAGGCGCCTAGGCCGACGCCGCGGCGGGTGGCCATTCTGTGTGGTGGTGTAATGGTGTAGATGCTGGAGGTTGGAGGGTGGATTGGGAGAGTGAATAAACGTGGTGGGGAGGGCATGGTGTCATATGCGCCGAGGCCAAGAGTACTGACTTTAAAGCCTGAGGCAGCAGCGGGACCGGACCTCTTATCAGCTAAGATCACCTGATGGTGAGAAGCCCGGGATGCAGATAAGGGCTACACTTTACCCAGAACGGTAGGGCTATTTGGCTCATGCAGCTAGCCCGCCCGGGACTAGCGCCCTCAGGCCCACCCACAACCCATTTTTCTTGAAGCGCGGCCGGATTTCTTCCTCTTTTCTTTTCTTGATCTTCTTCCCAGTACGACAGCACTCGCCCAACTCGCCCAACTCGCGAACTCATCGGACCGTCACAATGGCCTCCACTGCTACGTGAGACACACCCTGTTCATTGATATTCTACCAGGCGCCATTTCGCTAGTGAGGCTTGTGAGAATTTCAGTTACAGTCGTCCATATTTCTCTCGCTGGAGATATCACTGCGAAATTTTAGCCTGGAACACGGTTTTTTTTCGCTGGGCAACCACCAGCTCGATTTTTCCCGCGCCGGACCCTTTCCCCTCTCGTGCTGCTCCTACTCCGCCTCGCTCCTCGTGGATTCAGAAATGATAACATTGGGAGGGTGGGGAGCAAAGTCCTATACGATGGGAGGGGTCCGTGGGGTATTGGGGTTGAAAGCAATTCTTGATGTTGCCTTCTTCTCGAAAAATATTGTTGTGAGCTATCGTCATTCTCAGAATTCCTGCTGCCAGGGAGGAATGAGAGAGACGTAATGCTACAACGAACCCTTCCTGAGCGTCATGCTTAGGGTCTTGTCGGATGAGGAAAGTTGGATTTTCTATTTGACCTGGTTCGTGGCGGGTGCGAAAGGTATTGCTGAGACATGCATACTGAGTAGCATCTCACCACCTACTCACAGGCAAATGAATACCACCCTTCACCGATCGAAGCTATGTCGTCGAGTGCTTTCATCTATTGCCTTCAGTACGAGAATGTGGCGTTGTAGCTGCAGTTCTTACACTCGGCGAAAGTCTACTTGCTTCACCGCAGAAGACGATTCTGACTCTCTTCCGCAGCACTGTCCCCACCCAGGACCAGGTCCTCGTCCCCGAGACCCTCCTCAAGAAGCGCAAGAGCCAGGAGCAGGCTCGCGCTGTTGCCCGTGAGGAGGCCCAGAAGAAGAAGGAGGTTAGTATCCTTGTCTGTCCTGTTTCCAATTTTGTCTTTCTTTTTTCCTTTCGTGCATCTACGGTGATGACAACCTACCTACCACGCGATTAGACTACGGTCGATGCTATCGCTTCTGTTAACCATCTTTCGGGGCTGATAATGATGCTTCCCATCTTTTGCATTGCATGAGTCTTCGGGTGAACTCGCTCGCTAACTGGATTCACTGCAGGCCAACAAGGAGAAGCGTGCCGTTATCTTCAAGCGCGCCGAGTCCTACGTCAAGGAGTACCGCGATGCTGAGCGCGAGAAGATCCGTCTTGGCCGCGTTGCCCGCCAGGAGGGTAACTTCTACGTTCCTGAGGAGCCCAAGCTTGTCTTCGTTATCCGTATCAAGGGGTATGTTCTTTCTTCTGTCCTTCTGTCTTGATGTGTGATGTTAACGTTGTTGCAGTATCAACAAGATCTCTCCCCAGCCCCGTAAGATCTTGCAGCTCCTCCGTCTGCTCCAGATCAACAACGGTACCTTCGTCCGCCTCACCAAGGCCACCCAGGAGATGTTGACCATCATCAACCCCTACATCGCCTACGGTTACCCCAACCTCAAGTCCGTCCGTGAGCTCGTCTACAAGCGCGGTTACGGTAAGGTCAACAAGGAGCGTGTCGCCCTTACCGACAACCAGATCATCGAGGAGCACCTCGGCAAGTACGGCATCGTCTGTATGGAGGATCTGATCCACGAGATCTACACCGTCGGCCCCAACTTCAAGCAGGCCAACAACTTCCTCTGGCCCTTCAAGCTCTCCAACCCCACTGGTGGCTTCCACACCCGCAAGTTCAAGCACTTCATCGAGGGTGGTGACTACGGTAACCGTGAGGAGAACATCAACGCTCTCATCCGCCAGATGAACTAAGATGTTTTCATCCACTTGCTGGTCGTACTGGGTTGTTTCGGTCCGGGATTTTTAAATATGTCTTCGTAGCAGTTTAGAAATCCAAAAAGTTCAGACAACTCCATATCCATCTTCTGTGGCTTTGTAGACTCTCGCGCATTCGTGTGCCGCTTTTTGCTGTGTAGACTGCGCGCATATTCCCTGACTGCGTGCTTTCGGAGCGGTCTGGTAGCAATCGATATCCGTACTTGGTCGGGTATTTTCACCATAGCAGCCTGCTGGCTGGTGGCTTCCTCAAGAACTTACGATCACACCGTCTCACATTTTTGTTCTTGATGTCGTCTTTCGTTTCGTAGATTCGCTCAAGAAATATCCCTGGGTTAAAATGATATCTATAGACATTTGCCTTGGGGTTAAGAGTCATCTAGCTGCAATGCTCGACATGTTATCTCAAGTCTGCACTTGGGAACAATGCATGATCAAGCTGGGCTGTGGTAAATGTCGCAAGCTTCACGGTCACAGCTCTTCACCACACCTGACTTTTGACCTGCCCCATCCCATCTATGGTCCTCAGTCAGAGGGCAGTCTAGAGTCTGATTGCGTCCCGCGATTGAATATCTCTGGTTTTCCCAGTGAAAGCCTCGCTGTCTTCTCTGTGAGCCCAGGAGAATGGTCATCGGGCCACCGTGGGTCGATTCGTGTTTCTTGTCCAGTTTCGGCTTGAACAGGACATAGCAGCGTTCTTACTTTTCTAGAGAAATACAAAAATCCTTTATTGATCGCGAGGGTCGACTTCTGTTGTTTTTGATGCTCACCGTAAATGGTAAATAACTATATATATGCGGAAGTGTATCATGGACGGCTACAGTTATGATTTTTTCTCGGATCCTTTGTTCACCTTCAGATCTCAATATAAAGATGCAGGTTGACATTGGGTCGTCCATGCAGTAAGAGGCACATCCTCTCTCTGTTCATATATTTTGTTTATCTCCCGGATCACCCCGACACTGCATCAGCCACGTGCTCGAATATTGAGGACGATTGAAATGCATGAAGAGATCACATGGTCCGATCTGAGTCAGCAAGGCCTCCCTCAAAGAAGCAAGACCCAATCTACCCGATGAGGAATAGCCTCATCGAGGAGCGATGGAGCCGGGAAAATGGCCGGTGGGTGGATGTGGGAAGGAGGAAAGTCGATCACCTCTCGTCTCAGCTCTCATGAGATGGGTGCACCTTCGACGTCGAGAAATACACAATAATTCCAACGTATATCCATGAATCAACACATTCAAAAGCAAGTCGCAACCGAGTTTGTTACACACTCCGACATGCCCGATTATCTCATTGACGGGGTGTCCGGCATGTGAAGGAAGCATCATCTGCCACCCCCAGATCAACCTCCGAGCTCCACCATCCAAGATACCGAGGTTCCCTTCCCAGCTCTTGCCGAACACTGCGACCGTCTCCAGTTCCAACAACTCCCCAGATTTCTCCTTCCCTCTCCTCCCTCTTAAGCTTCTTCGCATCCCCCATCTTCCAACAACTTCTTCATTTATTCCTCCCCTCCCCCGTCTTGACCCCGCAAATCTAACACCTTTCCCTCTCCCACAACCCACAACCACCGTTCTCCCTCATTCCTTCATTCCTTTCTCCTCCCCCTCCCCCTCTTCTTCTTCCTTCCTCACACACTACACACGACACCACACACACACACACACACACACACACACAATGTCCGCGGAGCTGCGCTTCGACAACCAGACCGTCGTCGTCACCGGAGCCGGCGGCGGCCTGGGCAAGGCATATGCTTTGTTCTTCGCTTCGAGAGGTGCCAACGTCGTCGTCAACGACCTGGGCGGTTCGCACTCCGGCGAGGGCAAGTCCTCTAAGGTAGCGTAGCACAAACCGTCCCACATGCAACACCTCACTCCCTCTTCGTGTGTACGTATGCTAACATGGCAAATTAATTGCTACTCAGGCTGCCGATGTGGTCGTTGACGAGATCCGAGCTGCTGGCGGCAAGGCTGTAGCGAACTACGACAGCGTCGAGAACGGCGAGGCCATCATCGAGACCGCCATCAAGAACTTCGGCCGCGTCGATGTGCTCCTCAACAACGCCGGCATCCTCCGCGATATCAGCTTCAAGAATATGAAGGATCAGGATTGGGATCTCATCTACAAGGTTCATACGTATGGTGCTTACAAGGTGGGTTTTTTTTTTGGAAGAAGAATGTTGGGTTGGGGTGGAAGATATTGATGCTAAATTTTGTGTGTTTGACTTGAATAGTGCGCAAAAGCTGCGTGGCCTCATTTCCGTAAGCAGAAGTACGGCCGCATCATTAACACTGCTTCTTCGGCTGGGTTGTTCGGTAGCTTTGGTCAGGCGAATTACTCGGGTAGGTTTTTCTGCGGGGGAGAAAAGCAGATCGAGGAGTCAAGCTAATTGGTGTTGTTAGCTGCCAAACTTGGTCAGGTCGGCTTCACGGAGACGTTGGCCAAGGAGGGTTTCAAGTACAACATCCTTGCTAATGTGATTGCTCCTATTGGTATGTTACACTGATGGTTGGCTGCTTGTTGGAAGAAATCCCACTGATGGTATAATAGCTGCTAGCCGGATGACGGCCACCGTTATGCCCCCTGATGTCCTTGAGAACCTTAAGCCCGACTGGGTCGTCCCCTTGGTGGCTGCTCTGGTTCACTCCTCGAACACGACTGAGACGGGTGGCATCTACGAGGTCGGTGGTGGCCACGCGGCCAAGCTGCGCTGGGAGCGTGCCAAGGGTGCGCTTCTGAAGACCGACGCTACTTTGACCCCTGGAGCCATTGCAAGGAAGTGGAACGATGTCAACGACTTCTCCCAGCCCAGCTATCCCACCGGCCCGGCTGATTTCATGGCTCTGTTGGAGGATGGCCTGAAGCTGCCCGGTGCTGAGGCAGGACAGGAACCTGACTTCAAGGGCAAGGTTGCACTTGTGACCGGTGGTGGCAACGGGTATGTATCTTTGAACACAAGCTTTTGTTCAGTAGCTGACATGTTTCAGTCTGGGCCGCGCATACTGCTTGCTATTCGCCAAGTACGGCGCTGCTGTCGTTGTCAACGATCTCGTCGACCCCGAGCCCGTCGTTCAGGAGATCAAGAAGATGGGCGGAAAGGCGGTTGGAAATAAGGCTTCCTGCGAGGACGGCGAGAACGTCGTCAAGTCGGCCATCGACGCCTTCGGCCGCATCGATATCCTGGTCAACAACGCCGGTATCCTTCGCGACAAGGCTTTCACCAACATGACCGATGACCTGTGGAACCCCGTCCTCAATGTCCATCTGCGTGGTACCTACAAGGTGACCAAGGCTGCTTGGCCCTACATGTTGAAGCAGAAGTATGGCCGCATCGTCAACACCGCCAGCACCAGCGGTATCTACGGAAACTTTGGACAGGCCAACTACGCCGCAGCGGTAAGATGACTCCCTTAGCACCTCGGAAGAAGCATTGCTGACGCACAGTAGAAACTCGGCATCCTCGGTTTCTCCCGCACTCTGGCTCTGGAGGGCGCCAAGTACAACATCAAGGTCAATACTATTGCTCCTAACGCCGGTACCAACATGACCCGCACTATCATGCCCGAGGAGATGGTCCAGGCCTTCAAGCCCGACTATGTTGCTCCCCTGGTGGTTCTTCTCTCCTCTGACATTATGCCCGAGCCCAGCACCAAGGGTCTGTACGAATGCGGCAGTGGCTGGTTCACTCGCACTCGCTGGCAGCGCGCCGGTGGCCACGGCTTCCCCGTGGATGTCAAGCTTACCCCCGAGGAAGTGCGCAACCACTGGAAGCAGATCACCAACTTTGAGGACGGTCGCGCGGACCACCCCGAAGATGGCCAGGCCGGTGCTGAGAAGATCATGGCCAACATGTCCAACCGCAGCGGCAAGGACGCGGAAAGCGGCGGCAACAAGGTCCTGCAGGCGATCGAGAAGGCCAAGCAGGCCACGACGGATGGCACCCCCTTCGACTTCGTGGATCGCGACATCATTCTCTACAACCTGAGTGTGGGCGCCAAGCGCACCGACCTGCCTCTGGTGTACGAGAACAACGAACACTTCCAGGCGCTCCCCACCTACGGTGTGATCCCTTGGTTCAACACCGCCAACCCCTGGAACATGGACGATATTGTGGCCAACTTCTCGCCCATGATGCTGCTGCACGGCGAGCAGTACATGGAAGTCCGCAAGTTCCCCATCCCGACCGAGGCCAAGACCTTGACCTACCCCAAGCTCATTGACGTGGTGGACAAGGGCAACGCCGCCCTGGTTGTCTCGGGGTACACCACCAAGGATGCTAAGACAGGCGAGGACCTCTTCTACAACGAGTCGACTGTGTTCATTCGTGGCAGTGGCGGCTTCGGCGGGTCTCCCAAGCCCACTGCTCCTCGCCCCAAGGCTGCGACCGCCGCCTACAAGCCTCCTCAGCGCAAGCCGGATGCCATTGTCGAGGAGAAGACGTCCGAGGACCAGGCCGCTCTGTACCGTCTCAACGGTGACCGCAACCCCCTTCACATTGACCCCGAGTTCAGCAAGGTGGGTGGCTTCAAGACCCCTATCCTGCACGGGCTGTGCTCGCTTGGTGTCTCCGGCAAGCACGTGTTCAGCACGTTTGGTCCGTTCAAGAACCTCAAGGTTCGTTTCTCGGGGGTGGTGCTACCGGGCCAGACCCTGAAGACGGAGATGTGGAAGGAGGGCAACACCGTTCTCTTCCAGACGACGGTGGTGGAGACCGGCAAGCCGGCCATCACGGGGGCTGGTGCCGAGCTGTTGGAGGGTGCCAAGGCCAAATTGTAAAGGTATCTATGAGTAAAACAAGCTTTCTCAGAGTGTGTATATAAACGTTAATGAATGATTTGCATTTAATGGTGTACTGCAAGGTAGTCTTCCACTACTGGATATTGGGTGTAAGCACAGGGTAGTTGATTATCCGGTGTTGTGGTGGGGAAGGCGGAAGGCCGCCTATGATATCCGATGATTCTGCCCATTTGGTCATTTCATTGTCAGCTCACCCTCTCCTCTCACCCACTCCCAATCATCCCAGAATCCACACCATAAACACATCCCGGGCTGCTGCCTAGGCTCTTCATTTCAGCCTCTTCCCACTATCATGTAGCATTCAGGCTATCCCCTCGTTCGATGCGAAAATGGTGTCGTTCTTCGTTCCCAGCTTCAGACCCACCCCGACTTCCCCGCCGCTGCGTCCAAACGACAGCAACAGCAACAGCAACAGCAACACCGACAGCAACAGCAACAGCAACAATGCCTCCTCCTCCGCTATGATCAGCGAACGCGCCCTGCGCAACAACCCTTTCGGAATCACCTCCCGGACTCGCACAAGCGCCGCCTTGAAACCCGCCGCCGAGGATTGGAGACGCGAACAAGAAGAGCTCAACCAGGCCTTGCAATCCCTGGCCCGCATCTTCCCGGACATCCGCGTCGAAGTCTTCCGCGAACTCCTGGTCCGATTCGATGGAACCAGCCGCCTGCATGTCTGCGTCGAACAGCTTCTGAGACATAAAGAAGAATGGGTGGCGGGCCGATGGAACGTGCCGGGTGGGACAACGGGCAGCACCGCTGATGAGGGCGCAGCAGCAGCAGCAGCAGCAGCCGATACTGCGTCGACTGCGACGGCCACTGCCAGCGGAGATGATCCCCTCGTCATCCCTCCTCACGAGCTCTTTCGATCCCCTCGATACAAGGCCGCTGTGAAGGCTACCCTAGCCAAGGAGTTCAGCGCGTTGAGCAAGAGTACGGTGGAGGCGGTGCTGGCGGAAGTGAACTTCTGCTACCTGCGCGCCCGTCCAACCCTCCAGGACCTCTCGCGCAAGACCTGGCGGGCGACGCTCAATAGCTTCCTGCCGTTGTTCAAACGCAGCCGTGATAAGAATGAGCATCCTCTGGTGGTGTGGCAGCGGCCAGCCGCGGCGGATGGGGAGGCGGTCCCGCGGCTGAAGGAGACGGGCTGCGAGGAGCTGGACCGGGAGTTACACGAGGCACTGCTGGCCCCTTTGCTCCGAGCCCGGAGAGAGGAGCAGGAACGCAAGGACCTGGCGCTGGCGGAGACGCTGAACGAGGACGAGGCCAAGGCGGCGGAGGCGCTGTACGAATGCGAGTGCTGCTTCGCGGATGTGACCTTCGAGCAGATCGCGACGTGCTCGGACAGCATGCATGTCATCTGCTACGGCTGCATCCGCCGCACCATCCACGAGGCGCTGTTCGGACAGGGGTGGAACAAGTCGGTCGACGTCGGCCGCGTGACCCTGAAATGCATTGCGCCTTTTGGTGGTGGTGGTGGTGGTGGGCAAAATCATGACGGCTGCTGCCAGGGGTTGCTGAGCGCGGCGGTCGTGAAGCAGGCGATCCAGCTGGACCGCTCCGGCGCGGAGACCTACGCCAAATTCGAGGCGCGGGTGGCCTCCGACGCGCTGCGCAAGTCGCAGCTCAAGCTCATCCACTGCCCCTCGTGCGCCTACGCTGAGGTCGACCCGATCCACCACCCGTCGTCCGCGCTGGTGTGGCGCTTCCGCGGCGAGGGCCTCATCTCCAGCTTTATCATCGCCGTGTTCATCCTCGACCTGATCCCCCTCCTGCTCATCCCGCTCACGGTCATGTACCTGCTCAACCCGGCCGCGATCCGCGCGACCTTCCGCACCGCCCTGCTCAACACCACCCTCCGCACCCGCCCCAAACGCTTCACCTGCGCCAACCCTGCCTGCCAGCGCGTCAGCTGCATCGCCTGCCAGAAGCCCTGGCGCGACCCGCACGTCTGCCACGAACCGCTGCTGTTGGACCTGCGCGCCACCGTCGAGGCCGCCCGCACCGCGGCGGTCAAGCGCACCTGCCCGCGCTGCGGGCTGTCGTTCGTCAAATCCACCGGCTGCAACAAACTCACCTGCGTCTGCGGCTACTCGATGTGTTATCTGTGTCGCAAAGCGCTGACGTCGACGTGGACTGGTGGGGTGGGTGGTGGACGTGAGCGCAACCGCCGTCGCGCACCAGCGGCTCGTCGCCGCCACAACGCAGAGAACATCCCCTTGCACCAACGTAACCTTCGAGCTCAACCCCACAACCCTGACCCTGACTCCGAAGCCGAAGACGAAGTCGTCGCCGATGACGATGAAGAAGAGGAAGAAGAGCTAGAAGGCTACAAACACTTCTGCCAGCACTTCCGCATCAACCCGGGCGCCCGCTGCACCGAATGCACCAAGTGCGAGCTCTACCAGGACGAAGACGAGGAGGCCGTCGCCCGCCGCGCCGGCGAGAAGGCCGAGCGCGAATGGCACGCCCGCCACCGCGGCACGGCGACCGCCGCCGCCGCGGGCGCGTTGCATGTGAATCGGGATTTCTCGGTGCGGTCATCAAAGGAGGGCGTAGGCAAAGGGCCGAAATGGTCGTGGACGTATCTGGTGGAGGAGGTGTGGAGGGAGGGCCGGTGGAAGGTCGACGCCCAGGCGTTTGTGGATTGGGTGGTGGATTGGGTGGTTGTTGTGGAGGAGGCTTAGTTTTGGTTTCGGGGTTATGATGTGATGATTGATGACTGCACTGCGTTTTGTTTCCGGGTGGTTTGGGGGTGGGGCTTGATGTTGGATATTTCTGCCTTTTGCAATGTTTAGTTTATAGCCTTGAGCCTTGAGCCTTGAGCTCTACGCTGTGTAATGAGATATTACACTGTGCTATCTTAGTAGGCAACAGGACCTGTGCTTGTTGCCCCTGCCCCCCCCCGTAACTTATTACTTGCCGTAGAGATTGGGAGAAGTTGGCTGGTCTACGATGATCTCTCTGCTTTTCTGGTCTGAGCGTGCCCTACCTCGTTCCCATACCCAGATGACTGGAAGTAATGAACTTACTACCTAGTAGGTAGAGTCTGGTATTGCTGTTGCTGCTGCTGCTGCTGCTGCTGCTGCTCCTGCTGCTCCTGCTGCTCAAAAGCACACCACAGACCCGCAGCTATGTATCCAGATTTGTCCTACAGGTTCCCTTGAAGATAGACTCATGCTATAGACACCGAACCTAGAAATATAGAATAGCTGGTAGGTAAAAGAAAGGTCGATAATTGCGGACATAGACCCTGGAGCCGCATAATCGTATATCCTAATCCATAGCGCCGTCTGCAGGCCAGCACAGACAGTTCTTGAAAGCTTAGCATGACCCTAAAGCCTCCACTCACATCCCCGTTAACCCCCAACTCTGCCTCTTTACAAGCTCAGCCCCCCCGCTCCTCTTAAGGTGAAGAACCCTCCACCTCCCGCTCAAGCGCCACCTGCGGAATCAGAGCCCACACCACCACGACCGCGACGGCCGCCATCCCCGCCCCGATTCGGAAGATGACCCGGAAGGCCTGCTGGTAGATCGGGAGGATGGCGGCACGGAGCTGGGCGGCGTCGGTGGCCGGGAGGTTGGCGAGGTAGGCTGTTGGGCTGCGGAGGAAGGTGGCCCTGTCCGATGGGGTGAGGGGGAGGGAGGTGGATGCTTGGGTGAGGAGGTTGGATCTTTTTTGTTTGGTTAGTTTTAGGATAGGATATAGGATGGAGGGATGGGGAAGGGCAAGGCAGGTAAGCGTACAGTATCGTCCCGGCGACCGCGAGGCCTAGGGTTCCTCCTAGGTTGCGCGTGAAGCTGTTTTTCAAAGATCCATGGTGTCAGAGTTGGTCTTGTGGATGCAGTGGCTGGGGAGGTATGTAACTTACTTCCTGAAGGATGTTGTTACGGCCATATCGCGTCGCGCGACACCCGCTTGGATTGCGATTAGGGCTCTTTGGCTTTGGGTTAGCGTTGCGCTTAAACCACATATCCAAGTAGAGGAGAGAAGGAGGGGTAGCTCACGGCTGCAGTGTGTTCCCTAGGCCCACACCGGTCAACAGCGCATATCCGATCTGCTTGCCTAACCCCGAGGACGACGCATCGAGGGTCGAGAACAGCCCTAGTCCAACTGCCCAGGCGACCCAGCCGAAGAGGATGGGCTCCCGGTACCGACCCAGCCAGTGCACCACCAGGCCGGAGAGCGTGCTGCTGACCGCTACTTTTCTGATTAGTGGATCTCTGTTTTGGATAGGGGTTGGGAGAAGAGAGGAGGAGGAAACGTAAAACGTACAGGCCATGATGGTGATCGGCAGCAGCATCGCCGCCGCCCGGAGGGCCGAGTACCCCATCGCCAGCTGGTAGAACACCGGAATGTAGTACAGTTGCACCAGGATATTCCACCCGTGCAGGAACATGGTGATGCACGCGCCGTTGACAATCCCGGACCGGAAGATGTGCATCGGCACCAGCGGGCACGCCGTGCCCTTCCACTGCCAGCCCACGAACGCGAGACACCCCACCCCGCCGCCGGCGATGGTCCCGACGACCGGCGCCGAGCGCCAGGGCCGCTCCCCGCCGCCCCAGGTCAGGCCCAGCAGTACCAGCGATGTACCGCCTAGTGCGAGCAGCGCGCCGAAGAAGTCGATGGCGCGGAGTTTGCTCTTCCAGTCCCCCGTGACTTTGCGCAGCGGGAGGAAGAAGACCACGCAGCACACCGTCAGCGCCGTGAGGGGCAGGTTGAGCCGGAAGATCCACCGCCACGAGGCGTGCGTCGCCAGCAGGCCCCCGATGACGGGGCCCAGGCCGTTGGACAGCGCGACCACAGCCCCCAAGATGCCTTGGTACTTTCCGCGGGTGCGGAGAGGCACGACGTCGCTGACGATCAGCTGCACGACCGTCACGAGCCCGCCGCCGCCGATGCCGGTGAAGGCCCGGAAGATGATCAGTTGGGTCGCCGTCTGCGCGAGGGAGGAGGCGAGCGAGCCGAGGAAGAA